TTACGGTGGGGTTCCTCATGTGTTTCGACGCTAATGACCTGGAGCGAGGGGTCTGGAACAGTGTGTAGCGTCCCAACGCACAGTAACGCGATGGCGCCCTTCCTGCTCTCGTGGTGCTGTGACCCTAGTGCTCCGTACACTAGGCGGGCACCATGAAGCTATTACGCCTTGGTGATCAGAGCTACTCTGGGGCGTATAGTGTGAGCACTAGAACGGCATACTGTACAATTGAACCCCGCCATTTTCTTCTTTAGCACCACCAAAAAGCTGGGTCTCCGGTTCAAATTTCGACTTGATTCCCCACTGACGAAGACCTCATTAAGCCCGAAAGGAGAGCTTGCAGCATTCGGGATTATGGGGTAATACACAATGGGACATAAAACGACCCAATTTACCTCGTAAACGTGTCTCTCTGGACAAATTTGGAAAGAGGGAAGGGAAGCAAGCAAAAATGTAATGACGGGACGGCAGAGATGGGGCGTCTCGGAAAGCGGGCTGTATAATAGCAGGCGTGTGTAATTATGGGATTACGGCACAAACGACAATTCGCTCCCGACGGAAATTGGAGCCTTGGAGCCTTCATATTACGTTCGGCCAAGGCATAAAATCAGAAGAAAAAGTAAGGGGTGAAAAAGAAAAGAGAGAGAAAAAAAAATAAGAAGGAAAATTCATATACCAAGCCGAAAGACGTGTCCGTTTCGTGTGGCATTTCGTGTCCAAGTCAGAAGAAAAAGCCCTAAGACGTGGACGTCCTGCTCAAAGGGCCTCCCCCGCATAATCCGGTTGTCCGCTCTCTATCATTTGCTGTCGACAGCCAGCCCAGGAACAGGCATCCCAGACTTTCGTAATCGGCGGCTCTGTTGGAGTCACCAGACCTCAATGGGATAATTCAGTTCTTGGACTTTGGGGCAGGTGACGGGAAACTGAGAGCAGGGCCGAACCAAACAATGGATGCGCTCGCTCCCGAGGTGCAGAATCATAGTATGATTTCTGTGCGTGAAGCTACATAAAGCTCGAATCAGGGCATGTCTCGACGTTGTTCATTGCTCAACTGGGAAAGGAGGGAGGGGAGAGGGGCAAGGAGATGGGGCAAAAATGCCAGACTGGGATAGTGGGGTCCAGCTTCACCTCAAGAAATTGGATGTATCTTGTACACGACCGAGTACAAAGTACTTGCCCACGCACCGCACATTTCGACGACTTTGAATCTTGTCCCTGTCCCTTGCGACCAACTGAAGACCGAGGTCCTTGCTGCTGAACAGGAAAATGCGATACGAAGGAAATGCCCAGCCTCGATTTGCATGCCAACGAATTGACCTGACCAGGGGTGGTAGTGGTCGAAGGGAATCCACACACACCTTTCTTTCGCCCTGCTGCAGCTCGAACAATCCCTCTTCATCTGTTGGACAACAGAGATCAGGGATCAAAGATCAGGAGGGAAATAGGAGTCGGACATTGTTGGTCAAATGCCTCGCCTCCCAAAAGCCTCAACTCGCTTGCGTTCATCTGTCTTATACGATGGCAATTGCCCCTCTGTTGACATCCATGAAGTTAAACTTTCGCATGAGCGCATGACAGGGTTCCTAAACTTTTTTCCTTCTTTGTGGCTTCATTACCCCTCCAAAAATGCCCCTCGTCTTCTTCCACGTTTCGTCATAGCCCCAATGTTCCTTTCTCGAGCTCCTCAAACTCAAAATAGCTCGGTGCCTTGGTCACACAGTGGCGTTTTTGGTCCCTTTTTTGGTGCCTTCTTCGGTGTGAAACAAGCTGTTAGTCTACACCTTCCCGAAGAATAGCCTCGAAAAGGGGGCCAGACGTCGAGAAATAGAGGGGTCCCCAAAAATCCAGAGAAGATGAACAATGGAAAGGGTGAATCATTGACTCCGAAGTACGAAGTATTATTCTGCTCTCGTCCTACGAAGTAAATCAGAAAACCCAGATCCCAATCAGTTTTTGCCTCATCCCAAAGCACAAGACATTGAGAGCTAGACAGGGAATCGGATACCAATAGTTGCATCCTTTTGGGGCGAGTGCTACACGATCCAACTGAGCACTTGGATGTGAATGAGCAACGAGGTGCTCGCTCGGCTGCGCTTCGCTTCTTGTCAACTAGTACATCCCTTGCGCTAGGTGACGGGTACTGACACGGGGACTTGTGCGGGAAACTCGGGCTCCCGCTGGTTGAATGAGTTATAAACTGATCCAAGAACATCGAAATGATTGAGACCCACGAGTCCACTACCTCGTACAGTGTGGTCGTTGCTGATCTAGGAGTTCGACCGGAGAACCATGTCATAAGTTGCCCACTAATATGGGTGCCAATCTCTCTTGTCCATATCACTCACTACAGTGCAGACACGGACGTACTTTATCGGAGCGTGTGCCAGATCGCGTACGAAAGTATTAGTGTACGAGGCGACTTCTAGTCATTTGATGTCACAACCACCTTCAGCTCCACGCGTAACCTGCGGCGCTTCGGGCCTATGGGGCGCGTTGCCCCAGGTATAAGATACATTGACACGCTCTCGGTTCTGACTAGCTTGCTTCGTAGCCTCTTGAACCCAGGTATACAAGTACACTAATATGTATCAGTGTAGTGTAGGAGCTTGGCGGACACGGAGCGGAGCCCCCAGGCTAAACTAAAGGGGGAAATTTGAGTACCCTCTTTTGATCTACATTAACGAAGTCTGGGAGGTACAATTGTACATAAACTAATACTTTATAGTACAATCCAGTGCAATTTCACTTCCCACCCCCCAAGCAACCGGCAACGCCCATTGCCATCCGCGTTGGCGTTGGTCTTGGAACACCCTCCACTTTCTCCAGATCTCTGCGATGGCCTATCCACGCATGCTTTTTCCTCTAATCCCCCTTCCTTCTTGATATACCACACATTCTCTTGGATAGTAATATTAGATGAAAATTTTTCCTTCCTTTCTAACCCCTGTATTGCCCCTGGCTGTATCAAAAATAGCACACCCTTTCCTCCTCCTTGCTTCTCAGCCGAAGAGAGATCAGATATTTCTCTTTGGTTCGGGAATGAAGGAACGCGATCGAGATGATACGCAGCCCCTCCATGTCCGAGGTCGTAGCAGTGGAATAATAGTGTGCGTCTTGGTGAAAGCCTCCTGTCTAATTGTCCACGCAATATCTACGAGTGAGTGTGTGTGCGTCGCATCCGTCCCTCCGTCCCTCCCTTTCCTTTCCCTTTTCCTTGATCAACCTCGGTCGCCTGTCCATGCTTTGCTTTGTACTCTTGTCGTTTACGCATACTTGTGCGTGCAATTGCCATCTCCCCTGTCCGTACCATCGCGCAACTTTTTTTTATATTATTTTTTTCTCTCCCCCCGCCCCCTCCTTCTCCCCGCAATCAAAAATCCCAGTCAACAGGCAGAAAATCAACATGCTGGCTCAGAGAAATGGCGGGAGGGCACCCTTCTTTCACTCTCAAACTACTAATATGTGGACGAAAATAGGGAACCCGTTTTCGGTATTGTGTCATTGGACCTAATGGTTAGGAAATATGACGCTGTGAGCTAGTAGCCTCCTGCAGTGTAGCAGAACCACCAAGCATTGAAGAAGAGCGAGCGAGTCGTGGATGGAGGCGAAGATGCCACTTCTCCCGTTCCCCGCTGCAGTCGAAAAAAGACAGCCCCGCAATGCTCTTCCAACAGCTTTTAGCGTGCTGCTGCACACAGAGTGTGGTGATAGACGAAGTCGCGAAAAGGGTACAAGGCCGAAGTCAGGTCAAGCAGGAGCTGCGCGTGTAATTGGATGTATGGGGTACAAGACCCGTGCTAGGACAAAACGGGCGAGACCAAATGGAGACGGTGCAATGCCCCATGAAGTAGTGGATGCGGGAGTGGAGTGGTTGCTCGGGACGAAGCACTCAAGTCGCTTGTCCTCGTAGGCCCTGCTCAGTAGGCACAATCAGGACGACCAAGGTTCCAGCTGCCAAAACAAGCAATCCCGGCGCCACAGTACAAAGACTCAAAGTAGCTGTCAGTCTCAAACACGGCATTCCCTATTCGAAATTGGGTATCGGGTACAAATTTTCAGGTACCACCAGCCTCCTGTGACGACCCTTGTTCTCGTGGTAATTGGGCAAAGGGGTGCCAATGAATGCGTGAATGTCGTGTCCAGGATAATCGCTGCCGAGGTACCTCGTACCGGAATGCCAAACAGAATGTACTCCGTATTACTCAGTGTCCAAAGTACCCTCGCTCCTCCCACCCCTCCAAACCAGCACATTGGTTTTTCGCTCCCTCCACCTAGAAGGTAACTTCTCGTGCTGTGTCTGCGTCTGTGTCGCTGTCCTGGTCGCTCTGCTCTCTCTCTGGGTGGGCTCCTTCCCACCCCAAGCCCACGCCCCCCTCCCTCTGCCAGATTTCCAGAAAATATCCCCCTCCCCCCACTCCCTTTCAACTTTCCCATCCATCTCCCCTTCTCGACAATCCTCATCTTCACCATCCATCTGCGCCCATCATATCATCGTCTTGCGGTCGTTTTTATACCCTCGACGTCTGCCTTCTAATTGCCTTGTCGACTGAAGACAAGTCCTCAACGACACTCCCTCCCCGTCGGAAATCCCCCTCTCGCAACATATCACCAGTTTTCCACCTACAGCTTTTCTTCGGAATATTCGTCCCTAATACCACACCCCTTCACCTTTTTCCCCCCTCCTCCTCTCCCCCATTCATAATATTGGTTCCATGACCAGAATATCGACAAATCCAATGATCAACTACACAATCGAGTCTACCGAAGACGCACTTTAAATCCCACGGGAGCGCGTGCGAGCGAGGAGCCCACCCTAGTCAGGCGATTTCAACCATCGTGCTGAGTTGCGTCGGCCGTTTCTTGGAGAGCAGAGAACATTGTTGAGACAATCACGAACCACCACACATTGCGCTACGGCTATCGAGAGAGATAATACACCTGTTGCCATTGTACACCCCTTACGACAACAGTCCATCAACCCCATCAATCCATTTCACAAGATGCCCGGCGCAAGCGTGGCGACCCTGCCCCCAGCGGCAGCATCAACAACTGCGCCTAGGAAAACTTCACTCGCGCCAGAGCGGAAATACAAATGCCAATTCTGTAACAGAGCTTTTAGCAGGAGTGAACACCGCAGCAGGCACGAGCGATCACGTACGTTTCCCTTTTCTCTTACCAGTTGGCTCTTTGGACCCGTTCCCGAGGATTATAGTTCCCCCCTCAAGCGTCCTTGAGGGGTAGCACACTACACTAGGACGAGCTTCCCCCGCTCATCCGATTCGAACTACCGACCCCCTCCTGGGCTACGAGACCTATTCTTCCATCAAAGAAAACCCCTCTAGTATCATTATGGCGGCCTTTCAATGCTCCTTGCAGTCTATTCTTGCGACAAACTGACATGTTATGAATTTTTTTTTTTAGACACCAAGGAACGACCATTCAAGTGCATGAAGTGCAGAAGCACTTTCGTGCGACGCGACCTCCTCCTTCGACACGACCGAACAGTGCACGCCAAAGACGGCGGCATCCCCCTCCACAGCGATGGCAAGCGTCGTGCCGGTCCCAAGACGAGGGCCGTTGCCACTCCCTCCAAGCCGGCCATTGCCATTGACACAGCCACGATAGAGCAGCAACAGATGGAAACCTCTGGTGATGCCATCTTCGACGTCGAGGCTGCCGCGATGCTTGTTGCGGATCTCTCGCGCGCCGGATCTTACGAGGGCAGCAACTCCATGGACTACACATCGACGAACATGGAACAGACCGTGACCTACCCTTCAGGTGCTATTGCCATCCCCCAAGCTCAACAGGTCCAGTGGGACAATTTCATGCCCCACTCCATTTCCCAGGCCAAGGCGCACTCGATCACTTCCAGCACCTCGGGATCGTTTGAGTCTCAGCAGTCCTTCAGTAGTTCTAGCACTGTGCAACCTCACGCCAGCCAGCTTCTCTCGATTAGCGGCCAGAATTGCAACGGTCTTGTCCCTGCCCTTCAGTCCATGATCAACTCGCTCCCTCGGTCTGGCGCCAACACGCCTGTACCTCAATCCCCCAGCGTCCTCTCCAATGCCAACGCAGGATTCAAGGCGCCTCAGGTCAACAGCGATGACGAGCGCAACATGATCCTAGACAACATTCGCGCCCATGACACAGAACGTGCAATCCCTGAGGGCTTCAGGCTCCCGAGCCAGGCTTCGTTGAACCGCTACCTGTCGACGTACTTTGGACACTTCCACCATCACTTGCCATTCTTGCACCCTGCCTCTTTCAACCCCACCCAGGTCTCGCCTCCCTTGCTGCTCGCTGTGCTTAGCATAGGTGCTCTGTATGCGTTCGACCAGGACCAGGCCTACCTGCTCCACATCGGATCCAAGATCCTTGTGAACCAGTTCCTCCAACACAAGGAGAACTTCAGTTCCCGTAAGGTACCTCTCTGGACGATGCAGAGCTCCCTGCTCAACATGATATTTGCCAGCTGGAGCGGCGACCCGAAGGGATTGGAATGGGCCTGCTCGATTAAGAGTCTGCTGGCAAACATGGTAGCGGGTAACCGGTACGAACTGAAGCTGCGCCAAGAAGCCCGTGGAGACCAGCAGCCCACTCGCGCTGAGTGGGTTGAGGACGAGGGCTGCCGCCGAACGTACTACGCCGTCTATATCTTCTTTGGCCTGCTCACGCTCACTTACAACCACACTCCAGCCATCAATTTCAATGAATTTGAGGACCTCCAGCTTCCCTCTACCGAGGCGCTTTGGAACCTCAAGGTCACCGATGAGGCTTCGTGGAAAGAGCAGCTCGCCAACAGCACTGTGGCCACCTTTATGGAGGCGCACGACAATCTCTTCCAGGGCGAGAAGATTCGGTACAGTGCGTTCGCTACCCGTGTTATGATCAACGCGCTGTTCCTCGAAGTGTGGTACCACAAGCGCAGCCCTGAGGCTCTTCAGGACGTCGTCACCGAGTACAAGCTCCGTCTCGCGCTCGAAACCTGGGAGAAGTCGCTCGACCTCTGCGAGCCAGAGGCGGTGATCATTCCGCTCAGCGCGCCCCATAAGGGCCACCCGCTCTTGTTCAACGCGACGGCTATGTACCGCAACGCCCGCGCCCGTCTCGAGGTTGACCTCAAGACTGTTCAGGAGGCCCTCCGATACCACGACTCATACGAGGTAGCGGCGGCCATGTCCCATGCCAGGGATCGTGTGAAGCGCTCCAACGAGATGCTCAAGGTCATTCAAGAATGCTACAACTGCATCGAGACGGCCGTCATGCAGGGAGTCCGTTGGGTCGCGCGAACCTCGCCGACAAACTGGAGCGTCGAGCACCCGTTGTGCGGCATGGATCTCATGATCATCCTCTCGCTCTGGCTGTATCGTCTGGAACATGACGAGGAGCCTGCTACGCCTGAGGAACTGGCCATGTACAACAAGGTCCGCCAGCTCTTCGAGAGGGAGCTAGATGACCCCGCGTACGCCTCCCAGCTCAGCTCTGTCGTTGCCAAGCTTTGGGGATCTATGTTGGATGAAGTGGTTGTTTGGGGGTAAGTTACAGTTGTCCTCGTTGCTACTGCATCAATACCGTGGCTAATATTTTAACTAGCATCACCCGTCTCATCGGTGAATCCTTCCGACACCATTCTCAAGCCCTAGTTGGCTATGTTGACGACATTGAAGCGTCCTCGAATGCTTCGACACCTTCGATGATTTCGCAAGGTGCCGACGAGGATAGCGTGTATTAGTGACGACAGAGCAAATGATTCCCGTTTCCTTTTCTTCTTTTCTTTTCTTTTCTTTTTTTTTTTTCACGTTTCCTTTCTTTCCCTTTCTCTTTCCTAAAGTCTGGACCGCAATGCGTTTGATTCCCAGTGATTTTCTTTGCTTGTGCGGCGGGCTTTCTCCTTGTGTCATTTTCCTTTTTTTCCTTGCATATACCTCTCTGTTACTTGATTTTGGGTCTTTCCAGTTTCCTTATGTTTCCTTGCGTCTCTACTCAGCATCTCCTTATTTTCCTTGTTTCCTTTGTTGTCTAGTCATCGTTTCTCTCTTATTTTCCATTTCAGCGCAAGGCGGAAAGGCGTGTGGGTCGGTCGGAGTTGGCTGCTTTAGATCTCTCCGTAAACCCTCGTAGGCTCCGGGTCCCCTCCGTTTGGTTGTCCAAGCTCTAATGGCGATTCGGGCGCTGCGAGAGGAACTACGGGAGGTCGATTCTACCTTGTGTTTGCATACAGTCTCGGCATTATCATGGTTGGTGAATTTCATACTCGGGGGTTTTCAAGGGAAGCAAATAGGTCAGGAAATTTGGACCACAGGACGGACTTTACAGGAACAGTACAAAGGGTCCTGCTTGTGTGGGCAACTTGGGTTATAACAAGCGCGGCGTGCAATAGACAGCGGCGCTACCTAATGACCTGCGTGAGCGGGGAATGTTGGCTGGTCCATAACTGGGTTTCTCGTCGGATTTTTCCTATTTTTCTTCGAACACTCTTTGTTTCTCTCTTCTCTTTTTTTTTTCCTTTCTCTTTTCTACTCTATTCGACTACTCTTCTCTCCTGTGTTTTTATTAGTTTGAGAAACTTTACCGATCTATTAATCCCTTGTTACAATTAACCTGGATCTCTCTCTCTCTCTCTCTCTCTCTCTCTCTGTGGTTCCATTTCTTACAGCTCCTTTACTTGTCCTCGTTCTCTATGCGATGAAATTTGTTGCCTTCTCCTTTGGACCCGTTTCTGTTTTAGCCGAAGCGTTTTTAACTCTAAGGGTCGCCTCTCCTTACACTTGATCTCTTTGTCTCTTCTGTCTTCATTTCTTAGTCACCGTTCTTATTTCTTCTCTTCTTATCGTCTCTACCCCGTTCTAGCGTTGCCGTTATTTCCTCGTTTCCTCTTTTTCTCTCGAAGTTGCTTCCTCCTTTGTTAGATACCTTTGTCAGGATACGAGCAGGCAGATTGTCTTATTACCACACCCGGCAGTAGCAGGGCAACCTGGGATTCGTTGCTGTCCGCGCTCTTTACGTCTTTTTCTTTTGGACTTTCCCCAACCGGTTTATTGGTTTCATGCATGGTAGTGGGAAGGGAAAGAAATAAGAAGCGGGAAAGAGCGAGGTCAAGTGGGAGTTTATCGATGCGCAGGGAAGGTATGGTAGGCCATTGTACTCAAATGTTCCTCTCCACGATTGCGAAGGAACACTTGAGAGCAAAGCCGCGGATGTTCTTTGTCTCAGGGAAATTGATACTTGGATGGAAGCGATACCTTCTTTTCTTTATTTTTAATTCCGCTCATCTTTCCTCTGTCTCTATTTCATTTCGTATTTCTCAATCTCCTTGCGCATTTGGCAAAAGCGCATCGTGTATAGATATTAAGCAGCGTCTTTGTTGGCGAGTCCTATAGCATTTCCTCTAGCAATAACCGCCAGGGTTTCCTCTGCTCCAATTGTTCCTCTCCCGTCGTTTTTCTATCGCGCGAGAATTGTAAGTGCCTTGTCGGTATCATTGACCTACTTCGTAAGAGGGGGGCGCCTTCTGCCTCAACTGTCGTAATCGGGTACATCTTTGTGTCTGCTTCACATGTTCCTAGGATGTTGGTTCCCCGCCCATGAGATCGTACCACTTTTGTCCACTCGGACGGCAACCTTGTCTCGGGAAGGAGGAGCCTCACAGGGGACTTGGGATGTAGTAGATCGAAGTATACCTCGGTACCAGATATGGTGTGAGTGGTGCAGGCTGCGGTTTCCGTTCCTCGACGAATTGTAAGTGAGGAATCCTTTTTTAAGGAAGGCATTTCTAGGCTGGGGTTTGTCGCTTCCCCAGACTAGAGACGGAAACGCGGAGATTAAGAGGCTTGTATCAAGTAGGCTTTCGCCAGGTATTGTCCTTGCCCCGGTCGTGCGGTAATTACAAAGTCTTGCTTGGTAAAATTGTCTTGATCTTGGTCAGAGCTTTTGAATGATGCAGTCGATGAAGTTCGCAGCATCGATCTACTAGTGTTCGTTGAGTATCCATCTAGCAAAATATCATCGGGTAATTTGCTTGAGCCCTTGAAACGTAGTGCAAGCCACTATGGCCCGTTCATAAGTACGCATAGTCAAGTACGTAGGTAGACGAATATGAGTGGAGGTCATAACAACCACGGAGGAAAGTCGGCTCCGTGAGCTGTTTCGGGGAGGGCTCTTCGGAGGCAGGCCCGTCCTCGTGTTCCTTCCGCTTCCGAAGGGACGACGTTGGTATTCTCCGGGCTCCTTCTATTCACACATATTGCTTCCTGCCTCACCGTCCTCGGCAAGGCGGGTTCTTTCCTACTGTAGCGGAGAGGTTCAACTGCTAGCTCCCTAATACCTACCTCCACAGATTGCACTTGCGAATAGTTGCCTTGCCTTATCTTTGGACACCGAAGCCATTCTTTCCTTCAACACGGAGAGCCTAAGCACTTGCTACTGCCTCTCTATGGGGAGCGGAGATGGAGATGTTTTGTTGAGATCCTGTCGTCTCCAAGATTCTCCTCTCCTTTCTCTTCTTCTCATCTTCTCTTCATCTCTTCCATTCTTCATGCAAACCTTCTGTTGCTGTCTATAATCATCATCTCATTTTTGGGCTCTACACGCACTTAACAACCACCATACATTCATCGAAATCATCATCACCGCCTATCTATCACTGTTCGGCACTAATACCAATTTCCCCATTGAAACTACGTGTTGCCTGCCATCTTCTTCGTCAGCATCTCCCTCTGTTCACAGCGACATCTTCCTCCAGATCGTGTGGTTCTATTCCCAATACCCTGTGATGCTTTTCTCTGGATTGAAAAGCGTTTGTGTCGCTGCCCTTGCGGCTTCGCTAGTCCCGGCCGTCAAGGCGGACTGCGAATGTGGGTATTCTACAACAATTGGAGATAGCAAGGAGCCGAGTGTTTTCACGGAGCTCCTCGAGTCAGACTTCAGACGTGTCAACGCCCTTGGCAGCGAAACCAACTGGTTGCTTCCCGCATTCAATGTGACCAAGGAAAAGACCAACGGCCTGTACGGGTTGAACTTCCGGCCCAGCAATGTCATTACCTTTAACAACAAGAAGAAGGCGCTGTGGACCCGCACTGAAGTCACGAAGCCTGTGGCCACCTCGGGAGATGGGCTCGAACTCGCTGTGAGCAGCAAGCTCGACCATGACATGGCATCTGTGGCGGAGTTGGATTCTCGGCGGGCTGATCTCAAATGGGGCTCGTACCGCACCAGCATGAAGTTGACGGACGTTCCCGGCACTTGTGCTGCTTTCTTTTGGGTGAGTGAGGAGCGATTGCTATTCAAGCCACGCAACAATCCTTCTTAACGGGGTGCGGCGCTTTACTGACCGAGGATGGTGAACAGTACTTCAACGAGACGCAAGAGATTGACATGGAATTCCTCTCCAAGGAGTTTGATCCCAAGGCTGGTGTGTACCCTGTCAATCTCATCGTTCAATCTCCGAAGGCTACCGATAGCAACTACGACGCTGCGAAGGCTGGAAATTTTATCCGTGCTGAGCTGCCTTTCAATCCAACAAGGGATTTCCACGAGTATCGGTTTGATTTTGTCCCGGGCGAGGTACACTTTTACGCCGACGGCAAGGTTCTCGCCAAGATCCAGGGCGCTGCGATCCCCTCGAACTCTGGACATCTGATTCTCCAGCACTGGAGCAACGGCAACAACGTCTGGTCTGGCGGACCACCTGCAAAGGACACCTCCGTCTCGGTCAAGTACGTCAAGGCATACTTCAACTCTACCGACACTGGGCACCAGCATGCTTCGAATGTGAGGTGTGCTCAAGCCAAGGACAAGAAGAGCTCGGTGTGCGAGATCCCAGATATCGCAGCGGACAAGTCGGCGGAAGACTTCTTCTTCGGCAAGCTGAGACTGAACCAGACGCTCAGCAGGGCCAGGTTCAACTTCACCAACTCAAGCCTCGACATGAATGCCCGGACCAGGACCAAGAGTGTGGAGGAGGAGAAAGAGGAGAAGAAAAAGAAGGAGGAGGAAGGCAGTGCCGCCGTATGGGGCGCCACCCAAGCCGGCCTGTTTGCTGTATGGACAGTGGTTTTTTCTATGATGGTATTTGTATTATAATGCCGGGTGACTATGCAGTCTTCCCACTGACTGTCTAGCTTGCATTGTTGATGACGAAGGTTTAGGAACAATAATATCGTTTGGTCGGGCACGGACGGGGTGGCGGTGGAACGGCACTGATTGATGTACGAGTATGACGGATGGGGCTGGGAAGTTGGACGGGGTTTGCCATTGCTTATCACGGTGTTTAATCGGAATCTGCCGGTCGGCGTCGCCCTGGTTCGTCGGGGCAGGCACTGATCACTATACCATTCGTTTTTATGCAGAATTTGGCGTATGCCCCATGAGAGGGCTGGCTTTCAATACAATAAGGGTTTAGTTTAACTTGCAATAGTCTCATGGGTACGCATACTAGAACATGTTGTGGGCGGGTGGAGTGTAACCTGTGGTTTCGATGGGACGAAAGCATGATGGTGCCACTGTCACACGTCCGAGGTCAGGCGGGCCCTTCGTGCAGGTCCCCGGATGAGGGTGACGGGCGCTGCGCAGAAACGATGAGAATGCGGGCAACGCGGGCAACGCGGGCAACACGGGCAACGCGAGGCATGGTCACGTACAAAGTCTAATGCGAGACCGGAGCCTCGAAGCAGCAAGGCCAGGGGGAGCCATGTGGTTGGAGAAAGTCAGTTGGAGGGGGATCAGGACGATTAGATTGTCCACGAGGAATGGGGCGCGCTAGGAGAGGCTAGAATGGATCAGAAATGGGATGCGTTGAGGCGGACGACGCGGAATGAACAGAAAACGAGACGGGATTGGAGGGGACCGGCACGCCCCAATCCGGATTTTCCTGATTTTCCTGATTAATATTGAGACGGGCTGTCAGCTTGCAGCACGATGATTCAAAGCTGACATTCTTGATGGGAGAGGGGAGAATGGAGAGAGGGGGGGATCTAAAGTAGGAGCAATACCTCATTCTGCATGAAGAGGGTGGGATGACGGTCCTCTCAGTGCTGTCTCTCCCCTTATAAGATGGATAAGACGCCCCCGGATATTTTTCTTTTCTGCTAGATCTCGTGTTACTTTTATTGCTACCATTGTTTTGAATCTCAACAACATTAAACTACGATTACTTAGTTTCCGCTGATATAGCAGGAATTCCAATTGCGCCCGTTTCCGGCCTCGGACATCTCAAAGACTTTCGGGATCGAATTTTTTTGAAAATCAAAGATCAAACGGCACCGGAGTTTTTGTTTTCGGGCCCCACCATTGCGATCAATTCGGTTTCTTGGCATTTCTTTTTACGGAGGCTTATTGACGTACACCGGACTTTCCTTCTTATAACCGACATTACTGAAGGCGAGGAATAAGAAAAGAAACATGGATGCGCGACGAGATGCGGATAAGAGGACGGAGGATGTGGTGAGGAAGCCGGAGGCTGTTGCGAAGAGGACCGAGACGAGGGTTTTGGATGAACAGCCTGTATGTTTTTTTTTTGTTTTTTTTTTTCCTTCCTTTGCTCTTCTTCTTCGACTTATTCTCCTCCTCCCTCTTCGTCTTATTTGGATGTGTAGAAGAGATTAATGAGCTGACTTGGTTATTTGGGTATATCAGAGACCTCAGGAGCCGATGAGCATGAGCGCCGGTGGTGACAAGGGACGGTTGAGGGGTGGCGGAGATACAGGTGTAAGTGTCTTTTTTTCCCTATTTCTTCTTCTTCATATCTTCTCTTCTTCCTCTTCTTCCTTTTTTCCCCTCTTTTATTACCTTGGCTTGATCAAGAGACAAGCTCGGAACTGACAAAACTCGTATTGACAGGCCATTTGCTGCGGGATATGCGCGGGTCTTGCCTGTTTCGAATGCCTTGACTGCTGCTGCTAATTCCAAAGCGGGTTGACCATGGGGGAGAGAGCGTCGACATTTCCCCTTTGCTTGAGTTTTTCCTTGTTTACTTCTTTTGGGTAATAATACTTGACGGATTGACGGATTGCTGGATTGGAGGATATATCAATGCCTACATCGAGGCGGCTGAGGATGGCCTGCAAATAAAAAAAGAAAATCAACTAGAAAAAAAAAAGAAAGGCGATTCCTTCGAATGGATGGGCCTGAGAAAGTATTCTCATCATAGGTATTTTTATCCAGCGCCCTGTCGGAGTCATTGGTTGTCATCCTGAATAGTCACTCTTCGGCTTGCTTTTGCATTTGGAGCTAAGTACGGGGTTTTAATAATTGTTTCTCTTTACTTGAATAGACAGCAAGTTGATTTCATGGCTTCTTTCTATGGGATGGATCATGAGACCTTGATTTCTTGATTTCTTGCAACCGAGAACTAGCCATCGCGACTCTTTTTGTCTATTAATTCTTTGGCTTGCAATACAAATAATTTCTACCCTCAGGTATAATACGTTGGCAATTGGGATTGCCTGGACCAGCGTTTTCGTCGAGCTCAGGAAGCGGGGCTTTTCTATCGACAACCTCGAGATTGATGGCTTTCGGCCGCCAAGTATCAGTAGCAGCTGGCAGCCATCGCTCAAAATACCGTGTCAGAGAGCCAAAGCTTCTTCTAGTCGAAGCAACCAGTCCCCTTGGTCTCCATGCCGAAGCCAATTGTCCAAGGGAACACTCGACTAGGTCGCCAAAGGGCGGAAGAGGGGGGTCGGAGTGGGCGTCTACCGGTAGGCGCGCATCTTTTTTTCGGACGTCCGACCGGCCTACCGTCCGTCTACCGGGGGAATTTTTGGGAAAACGACATCACTCATTTCGGTTTTCGCCGTCTCTCGTCCGGCGCCCCAAGTTCCGAAGCTGGCCTCTTAGGACATCTCGGCATCCCGTTGGTAACTCTGCCAAGGGGGATCGCGAAGTCGGAAGTCGATGTCCCTTTTTGTTTGTTCTCTACACCAACGAAACCAGCTGCTCAAGTAGACGACTGCCCATTCAAGCGTATCGTGCTCTCGCTCACCCCGGGCCGAATTACCTCAAAGCCCACAGTGGGTTTATTTCTACCAGCATCTCCCGAAAACAACCGCCGCCACAACCTCGTCGGAAGCGAACCCGTGTCCGGGCCATTACCCAACGGCGCGGTAGCCTTCCTCCGCGGAGGCTGCGCGTAGTAAAGATCCGCCTCGCGGAAAGAGTAGTCGTTCCACCGTGGTCCAAGAGGTACTCTTCGAAAGTCCTCCGGCCCGGCCTCCGTCGTGCTAGAGGGTTGCGAACTTTCAGAGGCGCTAGTGGTTGTGGGAGATGAGCTCGTGTGAGATACGGATAGCCCTTGTCGGTGGTTGTGGGATGTGGGCGTCGATGGGGAGGAGGGCAGGTTTGGCCTCCCGCGGCTGTTTCCGTAGTCTATCGATAGGTGTAGGGATGGCGATCTAGGCGGACGGTAGAAGCGAGAGGGGCCCGTTAAGGAGGCGGTGTCGAGGTGGAGTGTGCTGGGGGTGCCGGGGCGGAGAGCGGGTTGGAGACTGATTTCTGGGCAGCCTAGAGCGGCGGGGCTGCTACTGTTCACGACGGCAGCTGAGAGGTTCATATTGGACACTTCACGGCGTCGAAGTTGGCGAAGACCGTAGACCTATATAACGGATAAACGGAGTTAACATTTGGCGGGCATCAACAGAAAAGGAACCACTAGGAAGACGATTACCTCGGGACGCTCCGCATTCAGGCGGTCGATACACAGCCTCCAGAGATGACGTCCAGCAGGAACAAAGAAAAAGAAGAAGAGAGCCAGCGCATGCACACAAAGTATCCCATACGCAATGGAATCCTTGACCCGAAACGAAGCCACGCCGGGCAGGAAGACAATCATCAGAGACAACACGGCCAGCCTCACCAAGGCGCAACCCACGCCAACCGAAAGGACATCATACGTCTGCAGGCTGAAGATGCTAACCAAGAGGAACAGTTCGCAGGCAATGAGGAGGAAGATCTGCGCGATGGAAGAAATCTGCAAGCCGCCGATGACCACGCCGCGGATGAAGTTGAGAACGAAGAGGATCAAAACGAAAGACGTCTCGGCGGATCGCACAGACGCGGAGTCGGAGTCGAGCCGGCTATATTGCTTGGAATTATCAAAGACGAGGACGCCTAGGCTGCGAGTCGGGATTTGCCAGAGGAGCCAGGCGAAGGCGGCGGCGATCAGGACGAGGAAGCCACAGGCGAGCGCCGTGTGGTAGGCGGGGAAGAGGCCGGCGTAGTCGAGCTGGTAGGTTGAGAGGGCTACTAGCGGGAGCATGAAGTACGAGAGGATGGCCCTGAAGACCTGGGCTGTGGTGGACTTTACGCTTTCGGCAAGACTGCGCTCGTGCTCGTCGGCGGCGCTTTCGGAATGCCAGAAGGAGCAACGTCGGTTAGCGGACCCCGGCATAACGACTAGACCGGCGATTCCAGCCGCGACGGCGGCGAGAATGGCGAGGAGAAGGATCATGTTTAACCAGAGATCCATCGTCATGGGAGCGCCCACGATCTGCGTCATCAATTCGAATCCTAGCGTACCTCCGTACGTGCCGTTTATTTCGTAGATGCCGTCATTCACGCTCCGGTACTGATAGGAGCGATTGATTGGGCCGGCGCTGCTGAAGAGAGAGAACCAGTTGAGGTGGCTTACGACGGGCTGATAGAATCCGGGGTAGCGAAGGCTCAGACTACCCGATAGGAAGATGAACTGCAGATAGTGAAGAAAATCCCCCAGGCCTGGTAGGAGGAGCCTCTTTGGTGTTTGGGTTTGGTCTGTCTGGCTTCTTTCGTGGCCGTCGTCCGAGTCCTCGCGCGGCTTGGTGTCATCGAAGAACGTCCTTGCCACAGAAGTGATCAAGACGAGGAGGAAAAGCGCGACTGGACCATAGCGAAGGGCGGACGCGATCGGGGAAGATATGGCCGGGGTGATTTGCGCCGTCATACAGCCCGCCTCGACATTGCTGCTGCTGCTGCCGCCGCCGCCGCCTCCTCCCCTCTGTTCGGCTTCGAAGAGGTGGAAAGAGAGGTAGAACGTAGACACGGGAGGAAGTGTCCCAATGTAAGTCTTCGCGGCGATTCTCATGGGGGAAAGATTCGCGTCTGTGGTCCTGCAGGTCACGTTCGGCGTCGCATCCCATGTCGCCACTTCTCGACCGAGCATTCGGAGATCGACCCGTATCGTTGAGAGGTCGTTGGCAACGTCGGCACACTTCTTCGTCTCATTATCTAACGCCGAGTGGATGGAAAAGTCCATATCTCTCCCGCCTCCGTGGTCTTCGGAAGGCGACAGGCCCAGTCCGAGGCTCTCGAAAACCAATCCGGCATCGGTGTGCGCATCGATGCCGGGGCACGGCTGCCACTGCACATAGGCTGCATGGGCGCACGAGGCGAGACTGAGGAATCCCAACTCTAATTGAGCGAGAGGTAACATGGCCAAGATGAATCTACGCCTCTGGAGGCTGATGCCGGGAGAAGAGAAACAAAGGAGAAACTGTCGAAATCGACATCTTTGGGGGCGCTTTCTACTTTCTACTACGCTACTTCGCAGTCTTGAGATCGACATGGCGAGAAAACGCCAGGCCCCTGAAACCAAACCGGTCTGCCCTTGGCATTCTCGTATTGCCTCCCTGTTCATTTGCTACCTCAATGCCCCTCAGTCGTCAGCACTAAACTAGTTTTTTTCGGACCTGTTCAGTTCACTACCAAGCCGAGAGTAACAGCGTCGGCACAATCGTAGTAGGTTTCAAAGTCGCGCTAGCGCAGGGATTGCAATGCGACCTCTCTACGAAGTTGTCCTGGCGGCCCCTTGTGTGTTCGCACCTATTGCAACACCGCCACTAGGAAAGCCAATATAGGTTTACTCGTAGAGTCCCGCAAGATAATGTCGCCGTATTCTAGCGAACCCCCATAGAACGTCTCAAGAGTATCATAATCTATATTCTGCCATGGCTATTCGTTGAAGTTCACCCTGCCCCCCAGGCCAGGGCCCCTTTAACCTCCCGCCGTCTGTCCAACACAGCCAAAAGGATGCCGAGGAGTCAAGACGGAAGCAGGGTATTATTAAACATTACGATGTTGTGTCTTGTTGCGTATTTGAATAATAATTCTTTGGGGGTTAATGTTGTACAGAGTATTGCAGAATGTTTCGCACCCTCTTCCCCGTCTAGGGGGGAGGTTATTACTGCAAGATCCGCCCTTTTCTTCATCATGAATCATCCTCGCTCGCCCTTGTCCCGCCTGTGTATATTGTTCGTTGCCCTTCCTCCACGATTTTTTTTCTTGTTGTTTTTCTTTTCTTTTCTTTTTTTGGTTCTTCATTCTTGGTTTACCGTGCTCTGCTCGAGTTAGTATATCGTCTTGCTTGCTTCCCACCTCCCAAGTACAAGGGAAAGGAACGGAGGGACCACTTACAACAAGCCAATCCATACCCTCATTAACTCCCGTCCCGTCAACAGCCGAGCACGCCACAATCGTCCAATTCCGATCCCTCAGCTCCCCAAGCCTCAACGCCTCCGAAATCTCCGCCGCGCCCTTGGCGCCCGGTTGGTCCTGCTTGTTGGCGAAGACGAGCAGCGCCGCGTCCTTGAGCTCCTCCTCGTTGAGCATGGCGGCGAGCTCGTCGGCGGCGGTCTGGAGCCGCTCGATATCGGTAGAGTCGACGACGAAGATGACGGCGGCGGTGTTGGCGTAGTAGCACCTCCAGTAGGGGCGGATGCTGGTTTGGCCTCCGAGATCCTAAGAGGGGCGCGTGTTAGAAGAAGGGGAAATATAAAAAATTACCTGTGGAGGTTATGAGGGGAGGGCGCGTCGCGTACCCAAACATTAAAATTGAGGTTCTTGTATGTTACCGACTCGACGTTGAAACCTATCGTTGGTATCGTCGTGACGACCTCGCCGATCTTGTGAACATTTGTCAGCCGCGGTTCAAGCAGAGCGTCGCAGAGTTGTCATTATTGGAAAAGAAACAAAAAAAAAAACGAACCTTGAGTCTGTAAAGTAATGTGGTTTTTCCAGCATTGTCCTATAGAAATCCCAATGAGCCTTCCCCGGTTCGCTTATTTCCACAGATATTCCCCCCGGAAGGAATTGGTTCCTCGTCGCCAAGATCGCGAATGCGGCGGCGTCGGGTTGCGGCTTACCAGTCCCAATATCAAAATCCTAATCTCCTTCTTCGCCCACAAGAGGCTCGACAGCCAAGATACAGAGTTTCCCATGTTTGAGTTTCTGCGCGCAAGAGAAGGTGATTGGTATTGATCGGTGGTTCGGCGAGCAGCCCTGTTCGAAGAGGAGAGGTGTCGTGTCGGGAGGGTTGAGAAGAAGATTGAGGTTTGGATCGTCAAGTCGGAGGCCGCCGAATTGGAGAGACTGGCGGGCAAAAAGCTAGGGGGTTTAGAAAGAAAAGGGGTTCCCGAACTATCGTTTCAACCGGGAATTCAAGAAAAAGATCCCACGCCCTGGTATAATCCGCCAGGAGAATTAGAAGGGAATAAGAAAAATTAGAAAGGGAAACAAAGCAAATATAAGAAAAAAAAATCTAGACAAAATTCATCAGAATCTCGGGAAGGGGAGATCGCATGCCACATGTCTCTTCCCTGTTTTTGACAACCAGCTCCATCCTATATCTCATTTCGACCAGGGTAAAATCCTCAAGGCACCCGCGCAAAGCCACAACAGCCACAACTCAAAATCTAAACTGTGGCGGCGCCCTGACGTTGTGGAGACTTGAGTTGCACGTGCCGAAGCGGGGCCCACTGAACCAATCACAGGACGTGGACCATTTTGGAAGGGCCACAAACCCTCATTCTAGCAAATTTCCTTGGGGCTGAATTTAACATCCCTCCTCCTACTCTCAGATCATCACCAACCTCAAATCGACTCGACATATCGACAATTCGAGACCGTCAAGATGCCGGTATGTCGGCAGCCCTGTTAGCCCGATAATTCGCGGAACGAATCCCCCGTCGATGCCATTCGCGAAACCGACTGTCTTGGTTCCTTTGAACATGGGAAGGTGTCGCAAGCGGAGGCCGAGACGGGGGAGCGCTGCGTGATGGGCCCCCTCCATTTTCATAATGCAAGAGACTTTTTTTGCTGACGGGTTGGGGGTGTTTGTTCCCCTGGGAATATAGAGCCACAAGTCTTTCCGTACCAAGCAGAAGCTTGCGAAGGCGCAGAAGCAGAACCGCCCCATCCCTCACTGGATCCGGCTGCGAACCAACAACACCATTAGGTACGATCTTTCTCGAACTCCTTAAACCATCCCCGTCACTGCGACTTTTGCATGTTTCCAAAGGGGGCGGAATCGAGGCCGTGTTTTCTACGAGAAGATGGAGGGGCTTGCAATAGCACTGCGGGGGACAGCGAACGAGACCATTAGACGAACAACATTGAAAATACTGACGTCGAAATCTCCAGGTACAACGCCAAGAGGAGGCACTGGCGCAAGACCCGCATCGGTCTCTAAATCACTCGCCTCTTCCACAACCCCCTCCCCCGGTTACCTACTCTTTTCCTTTTCCAAATGCTCCATCGCCGAATTTCTCTTGACCGAGACATCTCTCTCTCTCTCCCGAACCTCTTTTTGCGATTCCCGAGGCCTACGACTTAGAATGGAATAACGAAGTCTTGTTGCACCTATGAGGGAACCCTTACAACCGGCACGGGATGGGCAGCATTTAAGAAGAAAAGACGTGGGGGAGGAAAAGGAGAGGAGAAAAAGGCGTTTTCTTTAATGGAACGTTTGATAGATGAAATCGATACGCGGTTCAAACGGACAAAAAAAAAATGGTTCTTCTTTTTTTTTCATGAACTGGAAAAAACATTAGGTGGGCACACAACAACCGGTGTTGGGCTTTTATGTGTTTAAGAAGACGGTTTATTTTTTCTTCTCTCTCTCTCTCTCCTAGCCGAACTCGTGCATTTTAGGGTCTTAAGGGAAAAGGAATGCAAGACGAGTGATGTTCCATCCATGTTTCCACGTAGTGGCGGGGTGCATGTGTCTTGGAAAACTTATTGCGTATCCGTTTCCTCTGTTTCTCCTCTCCCAGGGTCCTGCTCATCCCTTCGGTATGCTGTGACGTAATACCTCTTTCCTTCGCCTACCCAGCCTTCTCGCGGCATGGGGGAAGCGGGAAGCCTTGATCGGGTAGACATTCGGGCAGAATGCCCATCGAGGGAAGGCAGTGATACTCGGCGCTCGGCCTGACGTAGTGAGAGGGTAGTCAATAGGTCAATGGGATCAAGGTCACTCAGGCCAGACTCGGACTTAGCAAAGAACACATTCCTATCACGCAAATTCCATTTCTCTAGAGAATTAACTAGTGAAACATACTCGGAGGAGAGCAGCATACCATTTTTGTTTCCCATCCTCTTGCTTTGCGTAGGCCGCCCCGCGTGAGTTGGGAGACCCCTAGTTAAAAGAAAAGACGAAAGGAATAAAACAAACAACTCCCATTGCCCATGTCGACACCCACGTCCAAACGGACACCCACGCCGATTGCCCTCACCGTTCCAACTGCATCCCCCACGGCATACAACTGAGGAATGAAGGATCTTGCCATTGGCTGGTATGTTTGTTATGCGTGTTTGGGACTTTCCACTGTCCTAATCCTCCTCAGCTCTTTTCCTCAGTTAATAACAATGTTTTCGAAATTCTTCAAATCGGACGACCAAACAAAAGCGCTTGTCCTGCGGGGCAGGACCCCACCGCCGGGCATAAGATTCCTCCTGCGCTGAGAACGTGGGAAAAATATGGAAAAAAAAAGAAAGAAAGAGAGAGGATTAGTTTATCGGTCCTCGGCCCACTCGTTCTCACGGCGGATCTGCTCCTCCTCCTCGGGAGTGAAGTCGTTCGTAATATTGAAAGTCTTCCGGATCTCGTCGGGGGACTTCCCCTTGATCATGTTGGCGACTGTCTTGCAACCGACGTCCAGTAGGGGCTTGATGTCAAGATAGTTCGAGGCCTAGTGAACAAAAAATCACATGTTAGCATTATGCTTAAGGAAGGGCAGCGAGGGAGGGAGGGAGGGAGGGAGAGTGAGGGGGGCTAAGAGAGAAAGAAGAGGGCAACAAGACGCACAAGGATAATCTCGAAGAGCATCTCCTGATCGACCTGCATGAACTTTTGGTCCCACTCATCGATCTCGGTCATCTTCTTCCGGGCGGCGTCATCGTCATCTTGGCTGGTGGGGGGATCGTTCCTATGATGATCGCACCACTCGATGACTTTCCGAAGGACCGCATCGTTGACGTTGGGGATCGGGATCGGGTTGTCCTTCGATATGGCCGAGTCACCTAGATCATCGAGCATGTTCTTGATGAGCATGGATCGCTCGGCGACGACACGGTCTACGAAAGTAGGCACGATGGGTTAGTTAATGCTTCCATGATATATATCTCGTCGTCTCCGAAGTAGGTACGCGTCGGCGACCGGGGCGCAGGCATTGGGAAGGGCCATTCGGATCTTGCGCCGTGGCCGGGAGAGGATTGGGTTCGACTTACCAACTTCCTGGACAACGCCGTCGTTGCTGGCCAACCAGGTGGTCTTAGAGGTGGCGGGTTTGGGCTCAGCCATTTCGACAAATATGTAGACGGATTAGAACTCGGTGATGGTTGTATAGAGGTTTGGGTTGGATGATTGGGCGCGCTGATTTCCTCGGGGGCGCTTCAAGAGAGAGATAAATAGTGATTTGTTTGGGGGAAGGATTAAGTGTGTGTGTGTGCGTGTGTGTGGGTGATGGATTGCGGTGAGGTTCAGGTTTAGTTTTGACGCTTGAGGTCGGGAGAGGCTGTGGAGGGAGGGAGGGGTTTGGTTGGAGCCTAGTGGCGGAAGGAGGTTGTGGAGCACAGTTTATAGACCTGGGGTTGGTCGGTTAGTCCAGGCAGTTCGGCCTGGGCAATGGGCCGTGCTGTTTGCTGACTGTGACAAGCGTGCTGAATTGCTGAGTTGGTCTTTGAAAGTTTAATGTTGGTTTGTTCTTTTTAACTGTTGGCGTTGTGTTTTTTTAGTTGTTGGTAAGTTTATTTGTCCTTGGTAAGATGGCGCAAGGGGCGGAGGAATGGCCAGGCGGGATGACTTCTGGGATTGTATTGAAAAGCTTACAGGGCAGGAAGAAGCACTCGGAAAATGCTAGCTGAAAGAGTAACGGTTTTAGTGTTGTGAAATCTAGATCTGGAATTGGCAACTGGCAGGAATGATTCATGAGGCCCGGCTTCTTTTACCTTTGTCTTTTTATTGTACTTGTGAACCAAGTCTTGACGCTAAATGATTGATGCCTTCATAGCCTACTGAAAACAGCAAAGGGACACACTGTCAACTGATCAAAGCAGCTTAGGAAGGCACATTGCTCAAGGCAGCAAGTCGGAATGAGCTCATTCAGCACCCTGCTCATAGACTGGCACGAAGCACGGGTATTGTTTCCCCGATTGCGGAATGTGTGTTGAGCTGTTTGCACATTTCAAAGCAAGTTTGAAAAACGACATTCTTGATCTTCCGGTCAATTCAATATTGCTTTCTCTGAGCAATTGATGACATCAAACACAGCGTCTGTCGCCAGTAAGCGCGGACGGCGAGACCTTCTCAAAGTGGCTTTCGGGCTTTCCAGGCTTTAGGCCAAAGAAACACACGTGCATTCCATATCGTCAAGGTTAAGCATTGAAGCTAAAGTGGACAATGGAGGCGATTCTCGAATGGAAACGGCGTGAGCGATGATGCCCCGATAGTTGAGTCCCTTGATGGTGGTAGATTCCATCGTCATCATCGCCCATACCAAACACCAAGACGGAGCGAGATATATTCGCCGCCATGGTTTGGGGTCCGGACATAGTTTTGTCTATGACAGCAGCAGGGGACTTCCACTTGCTCTTGCTCGATTTCATTGTTACTATACCCCAGAACCTAGTAGTCTAGACATCAGAAACCACCTTTAGAATTCGACAAGGACCTGGCGATACCCGTCGCGTTCCTCCCGGGTGAGCAACAGAGCTCTTGCCGCACGTCATTATTGGCAGGTCAGAATTTCGGGGTCAAAGATCACGACGACTGTTTGGAATGTTCATGACCGAGAATGCCCCTTTAATAAGCACGATGCAGTATCGACATCTCAGGCGCTACACTCGCTTGGCTATGAAGTCGTCGTTCGTCAATCACATGGCCTTTTCATATGGTCACACGAGTGTGCTTTCCACTTTGGCGGCTTGTTGGGATTCGGGTCACAAACTATCACGAGGATCCCGAGAGCAAGTCGAGCTGAGAAATAGGCGGCGTGCTATTCTTATATCTTCATTCGATGCAGAACGAGTTGAACTGATCTTCGTCAACGCGCCGTAGGAGCCATGATTGTTGTACTTCGTTGAGGTGCATCGCTGAAGGTGGTGGGCGCCTGCTGACTCATGCCCATAACTTCAACAACATTGAATTATGAAGATTAGTGACACAATTGTAGGCCCGTCGCGTCGTGGTGGAGCGGTGCACTAATATGTCAGACAGTTGAGGATAACAGCGCTGCTGCAGGGTCTCTTGGACAGACGCGAAGAATATGCACCCCAAGTTTAGCCACCGTCTGCAAAACAGACCACCACAGCACCTCATTACTCCGTACGATGGCGGCGCCCGCTTGATCGAAGCGGAGAGAATCGTAGCGATCGCCAAGTTCCAACCCCTGAATCCACAAACATCGGGTTATTACTTCATTTTGCTTTTTCCACAATTGTAATTGCATTTTATTCTGAAATCCTGCAAATCGAGCCACGCCCCCTATTTCCTAAAAAGGCAGATCGTTGGAGGAAAACAGACACGAAGGCTGATGTCGTCAAACTACGGAGCATGACATCGTTCGAGTATTACAAGGAGATAAGGGCCTTTTTCAAAGACACCGCCAGGCAACACTGCAGGAACCTGTCGTAACGAAGAGAGGCGCTTCCGAACGTTGCACCGCTTCACCGGCGCCATTCCTCAGACAGGGTGGGTATGTGTCCTCACGGACAACGATTATACCCTGCTGGAATGGTTGAATCGCCTCATCCGACAATAATTGTTGAGCTCGCGAGTCGCGACCCCGTGGGCGTGGACGTGGGGAGTGCGGGAGGCTCAGGCCGGAGGGGCCTTTTGGTGCCAGTACAAACTGAATCGATCGACTGACTGATGCGAAAGTCGGGACCCAGCTTCGAAATCGTCCGGAAGACCTGAGACCGTCGAACGGTTAAGCTCCACTTTTTGGTTAGGCAGAGACACATGGAAGGTCCGGATGCTGCGTCCCGAGGAAATGGGAAAACTCTCTTTTGGAAATCAAGCTTTTTTCTTTTGCTGTATTTTTTTTTTTTTTTTTTTTCCTCTTTTAAACCCTCACATACTTCTTGATGAGGCCCCCCTTGAAAGTTCCCTTGCAGCTACCCATGGTACATCGTGGGCAATCTAGCGGTCTTGTTATCTGATGCTTCTAGGCCCCGATGGAGACGATTTTCGGCGGAACTGGTCCGAGCATCAGCATAGAATGCTGGACCCGTCGGTGTTATTTCGAGCGTCAATGTGCTGTTGCCTACACCGTTGGTAAGTGTAAGTGTACGGAATAGTGTAAATTGTTTGCAGCGGTGAACAAGGGTTGTTTCCGACTGGGGGACGAATTGATACGTGTTCATGCTGGAGACCACAGAGACCACATCATGGGCATTGAGTTCTTGCAGCTGCGGACTGGTGACTTGTGTGTACTCTCAGAGTATCGCTACAAAACTTGGCTCTTCTGGGGGAAAGGTGGGACCCTCTAACGGGCGGAATAATTGAAGAGTCTCACTCAATTGATCCCTCATCGACTCGCGATCCTGAATAAGACGGGCAACGGCAGTTCTCACTCAACAGAAACCGATGGACATTTGCGGTTTTTGGGCCAATGTTCCAGAAGATGCTGCTTTGCTGATAATTATCAAGTCGCGCCGGACCGGGCGAATTATTAATAGCTTCATTTGGCGTCCAGTCCCGGTTTCAGGGGGCTTCAACGTTAGTCTGGAAGTAACAGAACGAAGATAGTGACCGACATTTAAAGTGGGATTGAACATTGAAATTTTGTGTGGCATCAACCCGAATTATTTCCAAGCCTATACAAGCTACAAGTACAAGTATAAAGTACAAAGTACTTTGTATCTTGTAATGAACAGCTGGCAATTACGCCCAAGGAGTACAATTGTACAGTTACATTTTGATGTATTAATACATTTAATACATTAATACCGGAAGTGGTAAGTTCCCAGCATATCCCAGCATATCCACCCAATATGTCATAATCTAGAAGTATCTCTACATAATATTACTGAGGAAAGTACGAGTCGCACTCTTCTCCTCCAGTCGCGTCACGGTTCCGTCCCTAGTGCTCCCATCGTTCCCAATTGCTCCCCTCCCAGCGTTCCCTAGTGCCCTTCCATAGTGTTTTCTTGGCCCTTGCTCCAGCTTCTTCCCAATGAGCAGCTCACATCCCTGTTGACCCGACTTTACGTCTTGCTCCATATTATTAAAACACACCAGGCGGCGCCTCCAAGTTTGAACCAATCTCCATTTCTGGCTCCCAGGAAGAAAAAAGGCACACATCTTCGATTCGCCCCCCCCTTTACTACTTCAGGACAACAAAACCTCGACTAAACTTTCTCCCTCCTTCCCGAAGCACGAAGTGCGACGAACCTTCTTTTTCCCAACCTTTAATTCGAGACTCCATCATGGAAGCGTCGGCTGCCGTCGACGAACAGACGTGCTGATACCCGCCCACCATCGCCGAAGTGTTTAAAAAACGGAGCGCCCATTCCTAAGACAGTCCGGACTGACGTTATCTTTTTTTGTTCTTCTTTACTTTTAACGATTTCGATCGATCCTCCATTTCCTTATTCCGAACGTCCGCCCTTTTCTTATCCGCCGAACTGCTGGCGCTCTATGATGCGCTGGTCAGCTCCTGCTATGCGATATCGTCTCCCGCCTCAAATACCGATGTTTACCACTCGTCCTCAGATCCAGTCTATCTTCCACGAGCCGACGGCAGAGTTACAACTGTCGATATAATCAGGAGAAAAGCCCATATATACCCCTCGTTCGTGGCATCATGTGGAGGCGCGTCTATCTGCTGCTTGTCCTCGTCCGGCTGTGGTTCGCCCTGTCTCCCAGCTATCTACACCCCGATGAGAACTTTCAGGGTCCAGAGGTGATTGCAGGTAAGATGATATTCTTTGGGGCTAGTTTGGTGTCTTTCCTTTTTTCCTTTTCGTTTCTGGTGTCTTCTCCAGTGGAGCAGTTAGTAGCATCCCTGTATGCGCAAAGGGAAAGCTGCATTCGTCCAACTATCTGCTTCAAACCTGTTTATGAAAGGCGACATGGACGATCGCAAACTGTCTCGAACCTTGTCGGCAGCCTGCTTGCTACCCTAGCGCGACGTACGACTGCATAGCGACCTGCACCACTTTTTACACATCCAGATGGTTGGCGGCGATGTCGGCCCATTAGCGTCGTTGCGCTATTATTGGAGAGAGAATTTGGGACAAAAGAGTAAAAAAGGAAAAAAGGAAAAAAGCGTGCTGGTGCTAACGAACTCCATTTGTCTCCAGGCCAAATTTTTAGTTATCCAGTCCGCCACACGTGGGAATTCACCAGCGACCACCCGATCCGAAGCGTGTTCCCGCTATGGCCCGTCTACGGCCTGCCGATGCTCCTCCTGCGATGGTTATGGATCGGTAACGGCCAGGCCGGCGAGATCCCGCCCATCGCCGTCTTCTGGACCCTCCGCGTTCTCATGTTCGTCATAAGTTTCGTGCTGGAGGACTGGGCGATTCACGAGCTTATACAGTCGCCGCGACACCGCCGCGTCGCCGTGCTCCTCGTCGCCTCGTCGTACGTTACTTGGACGTATCAGACGCATACCTTTTCGAATTCGATCGAATCTCTTATTGTTGCGTGGAGTATGGTGTTGATCCAGCGCATCGTTGAAGCTCCGGTATGTTTTAGAGAGGTTTCCCCTGGATGATCTTGGAGAATCGTTTTCTTAACAGGCATTTTTTTTCAACAGCACCGCTCGTCCCTTTTGTCGTGTACAATTCTCAGCATAGTATCCGTCTTTGGTATTTTCAACCGTATTACATTTCCAGCATTCCTCGTTTTCCCCGGTGTTCGCTTGATACCCCACTTATTCAATAGGTATGTGGATATTCCCAGGCCCCGTGTGTTGTCCTTCATAAACAGGGACGAGAGAGAAGAGAGAGAGAGAGAGACGAAGGAAAGCGCGCTAACTCGCTCTATAGACCTTTGTCTCTTGGCGTAATGGCTCTCGCCGGACTCGTCACGGCCGTAGTCGCCATTACCCTCGACACAGCATTTTACTCTCCCGCGCCACTTACCTGGGCCGACCTAATTTTCCGCCCCGTCATCACTCCGCTCAACAACCTCATGTACAACATCTCTCCGTCCAACCTCGCCCAGCACGGCCTCCATCCCTGGTACCAGCACCTACTGGGCAACATCCCCATGCTCCTTGGCCCGGCCACCCTCCTCGCCATCACGCGGCCGTACCTCTCCCTCCGACTCTACTCCGCCATCTCGGGCATCATCGTTCTCTCCATCTTCCAGCACCAAGAGGCGCGCTTCCTCCTACCCACCGTCCCCCTCATCCTCTCCTCAGTGCAGCTGCCCAAAAACAAGACGCTCCTAAAGATGTGGACGGCAGCCTGGATCATCTTCAACGTCTTCCTCGGCGTCCTCATGGGCATCTACCACCAAGGCGGCATCGTCCCCGCCCAGGTCTTCATGTCCGGCCAACCCGACGCCACCCAGGTCATCTGGTGGAAAACCTACACGCCCCCCATCTGGCTCCTCAACGGCAAGAACGAGGTCCTCGAGACCCGCGACGTCATGGGCCTCCGCGGCGAGGCCGTCCTCGAGGACCTCGAGCGCCTCGCCACCTGCGACACCCCCGCCGACCGGCGCAACCAGGAGTACCTCAAGGAGAAGAACGGCACGTACCTCGTCGCGCCCACCTCGGCCACCTGGCTGGATCAGTATCTGCCCAACAAGGGGCTCAACGGGCTCCGGTTCAGGGAGGTCTGGAGGACGAGGACGCATTTGAATTTGGATGATTTGGATTTCGCCGAGGATGGCGTTTGGGGTACGTTGGCGCGGGTGGTGGGGAGGAGGGGTTTGGCGGTTTGGAGGGTTACGAAGAGTTGTCCTTGAGTTTTGCGGTTCGGTTTCTTGGGTGTCTGTTTCGTGAATTTTTTTTTTTTGACTTCTTTTGTTCTCTCTCTATAATTCCGGACATGCGTGGGGTTCAAAGGCGACATGGTTATAAGGAGGCACCGGTGGTTTTTTCGTTCTCTTTTCTTCTCTCTGCTTGTAAATAGAAAGGGAAGGGGGAGGAGGGTTTTGCTTTTGCGTTGAAACAAGGGATTACAAGTTATTTACTACAAGCACCAATGGAATAAGGATGGGGGGCGCGGGAAGACAACGCCAAAGACGTGGGAGGTGGCCCGTCTTTCTTTGAAGATGATAAAAAAAAAGAACGTTAAAAAGATTGGCTTTGGGATGTCTATATGCGTGATATCCATGTCTATGTACAACGAGTTGAAAACGAAATAATGAAACTATCGTCTGATGATGCTTTGGAGCGATTCGTTTGGGAGTTGACGAAACTCAACTCTCCTTTTCGACTCCCGTGAGAAACGGGTATTGCAGAAAGTGCCTTTCTCATTCTTGAAAAAGAAAAGAATAAGATAAAAAAGAGGTTAAAAAAATCCAATAGCTCGTTGCGGGGTATATACAGAATACAGAGATGTCAATGTTGATGATATGTACACAGGTATGGCTGTCGGTGATGTCTTCTTCGGTTATCGATTCAGTTTGGTCGGATTGGGCTTGGGTCGTGGCTTGAAAGTGCCAATGGCCGTTTCGCAGACGAGGGGGGACGGACCATGTCGGGTGACCGACCAGCTTCTCAAAACGTCGTTGTGGCGTCGGGTCCGTTCTTCGGTGGGCCAGGTAGATTCCGGAGTCAACGACTTGATTCTTTTTTCTTGTCCTCACTTGGGTCGTCGTCTCGGGTGAAGATTGATGGCAAGCGGTGGAGGGAATCAGGGGACCCGGTGGTTTTCGGGCTAGGGTCCTGATCGAAGGGGATTCTATCCTCGATAGGGAGGCGGGGCCAGATCAACGTCTCTCAGGCAATACTCGATCTCGCTTCGCATTTCTTCGACGAGAACGGAAGGGGTTGTATTTTCCCTTTCTCCAGCGGTTCATCCCGTTATTTCCCTGCAACATTCCCTCTGGTGTCTCTCCAAATAGAGGGGGTAAAAGGAAAAATCCACCACTGAGCTGCTCTACGCAACTCATGAAATGAAAAAAAGACACAAGTCCGTCAAAGGCTATAACGCTGCCGGCTTCTCAATCTTCAACGCCGAAAGCGTTCCCCCACCCTCAGCACTACTCCCCACCTTCCCCTTCGTCACGCACCGACCGCTCTCCTCCTCCCAGCTAACGCCGAGACAGTCGTTGGTGGCGGCGCAGAGCTCGATGCAGGCGTTCATCGAGGGCACGGCAAGCGTGGAGATGTCAGCGGCGCCGAGGGACGTGGGGTAGTCGAGGCCGCAGCTGAGGCGGAAGTAGAGGGAGGTGTGGTCCATGGGTTGGAAGATGGAGTCGTTGTCGGAGGGGCAGGTGATGTTGGTTGAGTTGGTTGAGCGGATTGTTGGTTCGGGGTGGGATCTAGTAAGTGGGTTAGTTTTCTCTGCGTTTTCCCTTCTTCTCTCTTTGTCGTGGGTTGCGTCTGTTTGCCATCGTCCTTCTTTTTTTGACCTGAGATTTGGGGGGGGGATGGTGGCCAGTGTTCATCGGTCTCCCTCTCTACAGATGGCAAACAGAACCTTTCCCCATCTCCAACTAGAAATGATCTTCACGCAAGGCCGTGGAAGAAACCCCGAAAGGGGAAACAAAAACAGAAGGAAAACACTCACTTCTTCCTCCGACCAAACGCAATCCCAGCACCCACACCAATTGCCACAGCCGCAACAGCAACCAGCATACCGCCAAAGATAATCATGAAAAACACCTTCCTCCTAATGCCGCAAATCATCTCCCGCTTCGCCGTCCTAGTCGTTCCCCTTCCCGTCTTGTTCGCCGCCGAGAGGTTATACCCGCCGTTTTCCTCGTCATCGGGCGTCGGCGAGCCGTTGTGGGGAGGAGACGCGGGTGGATTTGCTGGCCATCGCCAGGGAGGCGTGTTTTCAGATGAAGAGGAGCTTGTTTGCTCGTAGGGGTGGGTGTTTGGGGAGAGGGAGTCGTCGGCGGCTGAGGTTTTGGTAGAGGGGGATTTGGACCACCACATGGTGAAAGAGAGAAAGTGTTTGAAGCTGCGAGTCCGCGAGGGTTGCGGAACTCGGCTTCGAGGGTTTATGGTCGGGTTGCTTTCCGGTATGAGGTCTAAGGGAGGTTACGTTTTCTCCCTTTTCACGGCCAGGCGCCAGCTGCCTGGTTCCAATTCTGCCTTCTCTTCTTTTAGAGAGTCCCCGGGACTTCCAGAGCCTTGTTTGGTGTGATGGGGACCCGGAATGCTGTTGAAGAGATCCTGTCGTGGTTCGCGAGTTCTTCGGATCGGCGAATGCTTCCAGCTACCTCATTGCCGTAACAGGAGCTTAACTTGTCCTTTCCTTACAACTTATCGTCTTACACGATTTCCTCGAAGTCCTTCTTCCTCCTAGTCTCGCTTCCGAACCAGCCCTTTTCTTCTCTCCTCACCTCGTCCAGTAAGACATCGAAGTAATCGGTTCCCTCTTTCCGGCTAATCCCGAGACTTCCACCCTTCCGATCGGCATTAAATGAGGGCCAGGACAAAGTGATGGGGATATAGACTGAGAGAGAAGTTTATATTCCAAATAAAAGAAGAAATAAGAAGCGAGAGAAAGTAGGAGGGTCAGAAAGTGCAAAATAAAATGGAGGAGATTGGCTGCTTTTGGGTCGGAAAGAGCAGGTTTGAAGAGAGAAACTCGAAACAGTGATGATCCAAAACGGATTTTGAGGAGACGGACCTTGTCTGTTTAGAGAGAAGCGTGGGGGGAAAATGGGGCTTTTGGGGGGCGAGAAAGAGGAAAAGAACAAGCGGAGAGAGAAAGGAAAGGGGGGTGTGTAAAAGAGAGGGAGAGGGAGGGAGGGCGGATGTGCGGGTGGGTATATCACAGGTACGACGCTATGTGGTCGAAGGTTCAAGGTCGACGAGGCGAAGGTTTCCGTGCTTCGAGGTAGCGTCACTCAAAGAAAGTGGAGAGTGGGAATGTAACTACACCACACTACCCCGTCCCGACCTTCGTACGCATACACGTCTTTGCGTCTCTGTGTCTCTGTCTGTGTACACTACCACCTGTGCAGTGTGAGATGGACTGCAGGGTAATAGGGTAGGATGGGAATGGAACCTAAAGTAGGAGAGGGGAGGGAGGGGAGCAGTGTAGGAGTTGAAGGTGAGAGTCGTACAAAGCAGAGAGTAGGGCTAATATTAAAGTGTAGTATAATTCATCAATCACGGTTCGAATAAGCCGACTTATTGGGCAAAGGGGGAATAAGGCAAAATGGGACGGGGCGAGGAAGGGTCTCGGGATAAAAGAACCGCAGGTTGAGTCGCCTGTTTCGAGGAAGGACGAAGACGTCAGTTCAAGTGAGAGGGTAAGACAAACATCAAGGCCATTTGGACAGACAATACATACTTCATAGACAAGGGCGGCCCGTCAAGATTGTTCTCTCCACACAGCCTTGAGGCCCTCGTTCTGAGTTTTTGCTTTTTTCCTCTTCCCGTCTCACATCACACGCTATTTCGCTGCGAGAAGGAATGGCACGTCCTGTGGTTCGCTGCGTTTTAATTCTCATCGGCCATGGAGAACTTATGCAAGATGGGGATCTACACCACAACCAGCTAATACGCGCCGGCCCCCTTTCCCCTTGAGTACACTTGTACAGAGAGCATGAAACAAAATGACGAACGAGAACCTTTGGGGCCGCCTCTTTCTCGCGCCCGGGGGCGAAAGTTCGCCTGATACCATCGTACTACCGGTGGAATCGACCGAAAATCAAGGCCAGAGTACGAAGTATAATTGGCGCCAACGAGGATCAAAAGGGACCAATTTGAGAATTGCGAGAGCGCGCTACCTTTCGCGACACTTTCTCGTGCTCCCTCTCTCCACCTCTCCACAGGCACAGGGGACACACCCCAGTTTTGGTCCTTTAGAAGGAGCAAGGTGGTAACGAGGGTGACCTGTCAATCGAGAAGGGGGGTGGGGGAAAGAGGGAACGGGAGGGCGTGTGGGTAGAGGGAAGGATGGAAAGGATGGTTGAGATCTCGGGTGTTGCAGAGATCTCGGGATATAACGTAGGTGCATGTAGGGTTGAAGCTAGATGGATCTAGAGTTTTGGATTTACGACTTCCTTTCGGGTCTGAGAGTAAAGTGAAGATGAATAGGTTGGGGGCTAGGGTTAGGATCGAAGCTATCATGGAACAAGCCGATAGGTACGAAGCACTGGTTGTGCTATGCTGGTGACATCGCCGACTACAACTCTAGAGGTGAAAAAAGAACTTCTGTGATGTGAAAGGGGCCGAAAGGAACGGGAGGGGGGAGTGGGTAGGAGGCGGCAACGAAACGACGACGGGAGGTTATGCTTGTTCTGGAAGCTTTGTCCGCCGGATGTTCCTTTTCTTTTTCGCCGCATTTTCGAACGTTTCGAACTATTGGAGGGTCTGCTCCAATAATTGATGTTATCGAGGGTCGAGGGGGGCGCAAAACGTTTGAAGTGGAAAAGGTTGGCAAGCCAGCACGAGCTTGGGTGACGATATCCTTGGACAAAAAAAAAAAAAATTGGAGTCGCGTTTCGGTCCGTTCATGAAAGCAAGGAAAGATGCGTGGGGAATTTCCCAAGGTCTAAACCAAGACTGGGTTTAATTTTTGAAAGCACAATCGAATTGTAGTACCATCATTTGACATTACAATTGTAGTGTGCTTGTCAACTGAGAAACCGGAACGAAAGATCAATCGATCGATACAATTGTACCTACAAAATTCCACATCAATGATCTCTCTTGGCCGGGGCGCCTTCCTTCCCTTCGATTCTGCTGCTCTCCGCTGTGTCGCAGTCACAGTCGCAGTTGCAGTCACTTGGGCGAGCAACAGCAGTATACATCGTATTTGGGTCTGATCCTCCTTCCCTTGGTCAATCCCGTCAATCCCGTCAATCCTCATTCCAGGCAGGTTGTGAGCATTGTTAGTGAGAAAATTGAACGTCTTCACGCATCAATGACCCAATCTCACAGAGAAGTTTACTTTGCAATGGCCTGCAATGAAGTCGGCAGCAAGGCAGCAAGGACCAGGAGGGCGTGGATTGTTGGGGTCAGTCACTTGGGGCTTGGGGGCGTGTGTGGAGGGAGATGTGGAGATGGAGATAAGGATGAAAGGAAAGTGAGAAAGACTTCAACCACATGCACTGCTTTTCTAATGTATCTCACACAACATGGCGGCGCCCTCCGCAAATGGCGACGGGTGGGGGAAACACTTTCCTCAGTGGATCGTAAGAAAATACATATTACTTTTCAAGAGGCAATTGCGAGGCTGGTGAGGGAAGATGGAAAGACAAGTTGTTTACCCCGAGTCGGACATGTACTTTGTCTCTTCCTTCGTTGGAGAAGGCACGAGAGAAGAAGAAACAGTCCTGCCGCAAGTTTTCAATTTATGGGCTGTGTACACTGCAATGTAGATTGTGCTCGGCTCATTTTGGCCAGTAGAAACGCGAGGTTTTACATCAAATTGATTGCACTACACTCGGTTTGTGTTCGTGTATAGCCTAGGAGCCGTGTTTTCTTAGATATAGATGTGGATATATGGACTTGATATATCCTGTTCTTCACTAACAGCTCAAGCCCGCCCTACCGCAACTCTTTTGTTTGCGTGTTACCGGCTGGTCATCTCCATCATTGACCTTTCAATGTCCTCTTCTTTAATGGTCCGAGTACAAGTACATAGACCAGCTACTTCGTACGTGCTTTGCAGGTGGTGCCGAAGATGAGAATTCTGGCGTAATATTCTGTCGATAGAGCGTAGATTATAATATCCATTCCAAATGTTGCGTACAAGGATATCGAGAGTGATGAGCTAATACTTCGTACTCATTGTTGCCAGTCTTTATTACGAAGTATTAGCAGCGCGCTGTGAGAGACGTCGTGTACTCCTTGACCGAGAGCCTTGAATCGCCAAAGTGCCGTGCCGCAAGACGCGCCGGAGGGCTTTTGACGCAAGCTGACGACACATGGGATGCGAGGATCTGCAGAGGCGTCCATCAAGAGAGGTTCTCTCCCCCTGATTTGCGCTTCCCTACCAAAGTCGGTAGGTTCCGGACTTGTATGTATCATCATAATTCGGCAACCTACAAGTACACTAGATATTCTGCGCCTTTCTGATCTACAGCCCTTCCACCTAAGGAGATATCGTGCATTCTTTTTTTGGTCGACATGCGCGATGATCTCGACGAATAGAAGATCTACTTCGGACCTCAAACTTCGGCTCCTGCGTTTTCCTCACCGTGATTTGCAGCACCGTATGTATGATCTTCCCCCCTTTTCGAGATAAATTTCCATGATAGCGTATGGTAAATGGCGTCCATCATATTCTCATGAGCCGAACCCACCGCTGTTCGAGCCAGAGGCAACACCTTGCGTTGCAGTTGCAGTTGCAGTTGGGCGAGGAAGGACCTTGAAATGCCCCGAGCCTTCTTCCTTCTCCTCCATAGGCGAGATAACGAATTGCTACCTTACATCCGCCCGAGACTTCCTGTTTTCTCTGAAAGATCTGATTCGGGCATGCCCTTGTGCGAAGCATGAGGTTGGTGACCGCCTTTCTTTGTGAGAGAAGAAAGATGTCGATGTCGATATCCATTCGGACACGGCAATTGGATATGCCACACTTTGATGGGGGTCAATCAAGTCGAGGATCAAATCTTGTAAACTCCGAAGAATACACGCAGGTCACAAAAACCAGTTCTCTCCTCAGCTGGACGATGGAGGGATACTTCCTGCGCCAGGTCGTATGGTGCAGGGGGGAAGGGGGGGTGTGCTTCGTACGAAGTACAAAGTGGAGAATTAAAGGCGAGGAAGCGCAGCCGCGTCTCCGCAAATGGGCCGAATGGAACGCCAACAGCGTGCCTAGCATGATCCGCTACCTGTCCAGTTTGGGCATAGTCTGGCCAGGCCTGTCTGCATGGGGCGCGGGAACTGTCATTGACCTGAGTGCACATGTGCACTTTTCTGCTGAAGAGGGTGCAGTGGTGATGGTTCCGGGGGGCCTGGAGATGACGATCGAACAGTTGAGCAGTACGGCGGTGCACAACATGGCAGCCACAATTCTTGATTGAGAGACTCTCGTTGATACTGTGCTGCTCCATCGTAAGCACTGCATTGTAGTATTGGCAGTCAGCTACGATACCTAGCCTCGCTCGGGAAGCTGTCTCTTTTCTTTCTTTTGTGATAACCCTTCTAGACACTGATTCATCCCTGATGAGATCTGCTCTGTTGAACGACGTCTAGTGTACGAAGTACATACTTTTTTGTCTCAGCGCCAAATGTTTCGGAGAAGGCCAGAAATAAGAGGGATTCTACACCGGATTGTCCATCCTCGATGCAAAATGCAGGACAGTATGAGCTCTCATCATACAAGTATTAATATACCCTGGTAAGAACTGCTAACTATCCAGGAACAGCTGGCGGTCGACATCGCCCTTATATCCGGGAAAACCTGCCAGGCGACTGAGCATTTCGAGCATGGTCTTTGCCCGTTGTCGAGGCGAGTGGACCGAGATGACGATGCCTCGGCTTGCATGCGTCCTTCGTACTTCGTATATTGAAGCCTTAGAAAATTGGATAACGGTGAAGACACGTCTATATCCACGAACGAAGCAGGCAAGTGGTATCGACACATCGTCCGGCAGCGAGACCGAATGCAACGACGGAAGGCATGAAGAGTTGGATGGGCATCGTCACCGCCATCAAATCACAGCACCACCACGCATTCTTGGTTGCGTCCGAGGAGATTCGACGACGTATGTGTAGGCCATGCTACGTCGCATCGTTCTTCAGCTCGAAGCTTGATATGTCGCTCTTTTGTCCAGTGCAGGACTTCATTCGACATGATCGATGTTATTGGGGGCCGGTGACCCAAACTCAGCGCCTGGCTGGCTACCAGGCCTGCTGGGCTACCTTGTTCCATTCCCAAAAATACATGCCGGCTTCTGCTTATGATAGGCCATACAAGGTGCACAGTTGTGTAGCGCTCACCCCCCTAACCAGAAGATATCTACTTCGTACTAGCATCGTAAATACCGATTGACGTCTTGTCTTTCCCCTTCCGGCCAGCAATGCTTGTCCTCGCACGTCCCTTTTCCCCTCGATCCCATAAACCTGGATGCCTTTATTTCGTTAGTCGGCACGAGGTACAACAAACACAACATCTTGGAAGCCAAAATTAATGGACTATTAATCCCCATTCGAGAGCATCTTTAGATTGAGCCAATGTGAAGGAAGCTATCTCGAGGAGTCTGTCTCCTTTCTCATCTGTAAAAGGAACTTAACTTGGCCTAGTCCGGAGAGAATGGCGCGGAAAACTTCCACTATCTGACGGTGTTCATGTCCCTTTTTCTTACAGTTCGACATTCAATCTCGGCGAATTGAAGCCACGACCCTCCCATCCACCCCATTTCCGGCCCACTGGGCCCGCTCCGAAGCTCCGCCCTTTGGTTCTCGTCCGCTCCAATAACTGCCTTATCCAGGCCACGCCTTTTGCTTTACGTTCTTTTGGGGGGTCAGGCTCGGGAGAACAAGGCGAGTATTTGATAGAGTTTCTCGCCTCGTCGAGGCAGCTAGGTGGGGGGTCGAGAACGAGAGGGGAACGTTTCGCCCACATCTGACCGAGAGACGGGGCTGCCGGCTACGAAGTATACAAGCATGTAGAGGAGTAGCACTAATATGAAGTACCATCAAGTGGTTAGGAGGATGATTACGAAGGACGAAGGATTTGTCGGAAACGTGATTGTGTGCTTCCCCTGCTGGTCTAGCCGCGTTGCATTGGGACCTCTAAGATTAGAATGACGACCTTGGCTCTCGCCCTTTTGACCACTACGAATTTGTATAATAAATATGCTACCGCTCCAGGAAAGACTTGCGAGTCTATCAACTGGCTGTTGAGGAGGGGGTTTGATTAAGCAGCACTGGTTGCTCTTAGGCAGGTGAGCTAGCATCGCGGATCAGGGAATGCCAGGCTCATGCCAGGACGAGCAAATGTCTTTACGAAGTATTTGCTCGTTGAATCTGCGTGGGTTGGTTGAATGAAGGATGGCTTCATCATCTGTTCGCATGCGAGGAATCCTTGGAAAGCCCTTGGGTTTCGAGATGTGTTGTGCCACTAGGATCATTAATGGCTCTTGATGAAACAAAGCCACCTCCACCCTCGGCTCTCGAGTCTGCATGATCCATTTTCGGATCGTGGCCGCCGACATTGGTAATGTTGGAGACTGCCAAGACCGTAAGACATGTAAGGCCTTAGTGCAAAGGGGAAAAAAAAAAAAAAAAAAAAAGCTGTCATCTAATAAGTGGCGCTCACGTCACGTCGTTCTGGACAATCTCAATCTCATTCCCTCGTGTCTGCGAGGTTCCCATTACCATTTTGCTCAACGGCGGACTACAAAGGATCCTTTCTGAGGAGATGCGGAGACCATGGTTCAAAAATAGAATGCTTTCAGCACGCCCGTCCTTCTGCCGAATCCTACTATTCCCGGGGTAAAATAGTCCGTAGCATCAAAATCTCCCTACGCCGATCAACCTCGGTGGTCATGACCACCGAGAGATCGGCTGTGACTTGAAAAGCTTGAGCTGTCGATCAATTTCTACAAAACATGGGGTTTACTGACGCTCTTCACTTCTCGGTGAAGAGCTTCATTTCGGCCATTGTAAATCACGACGTATCATCAGTTGCGCAAAAAAAAGGACAGCATATTTGGCTCGTTACTTCATATTTTTGATTTTCCGTCCTCAAACTCCAAGGTCGTCTATGTACGCCCTATTCGGCTCTGGTCCTTCCAAGTCCAGGTAAAAAGAGCCACAACCACAAACGTCCCAATGAAGTCATCACACATCGCACCAAGCTTACCCCAAAAAAGAGAGAGCTTAGTAGAGACGCTTGGGAGGAGACATGGTAGCCTTGATGGTAAGGCTACCAACGTTCTGCCAGCCCTTCTTGAGAAGAGAGACGAGGTAGTTGATGGCCAACATGATGTTGGCGACGAGTTGCTCGGAGGTCATGCCGACGTTTCCGACGGCGACACCCATGCAGAGAACCTTCTTGAGCTGGAACTTGATGGTGGACTTGACCTCGTTGGTCTTGGCGACGAGGTCCTCGGCGTGCGAGACGGGCGTGGGGAACTTGCCGGCCTTGGAGAGACCGGGTCCGAGGATACGGGGGATCTGCTTGATGAGGGCCTCGGAGGCGACGAAGGCGTCGTACTTGCGCGCGAGCTTCTTGATGAGCTTCTTGTTCTTGTTGAGCTTCTTGAGGTCGTCGGCGGACATGGCGTCGATCCCGGCGTGCTTGGCACGATCGATATCGTGCTGGTCACCAAGAATGCTAAACAAAACAAGTTAACGGCGTGTTCCCTCAGCACTACTGTCTCTCGTCCGTCCTTTCTAAACACATACCAAAGCTTCATGTTGGGGCGGGGGATGGTGGGAAGCTTGACGGTGCCCGAGAAACGCTTGTCACGCTGGGGGTCATAGTTCTTGAGGCCGATCTGGAGCTCGACGGTCTCGAGGAAGTTGCGCTTCTTCTCGTTAAGGGAGTAGTCGAGGAGCTCCCCAACCTGGGCACGCACGTGGGCTATTGATTGATTTCAGTTAGTTTCCCTTCCTTCGACCACGATTTGTTCGCGTTCGTCCGCTTTCATTCGCCTAGGGTTGGTTTTCCATACCGACTGTGATCTCTGTAGGTGAAAAATTAAGTTAGTCAAGTCCCTTCTTTTCTTCTTTCTTTTTCTTCTGGTGAGATAAACCAGGTGCAATTGTTATCGGAGGAAAACTTACTCGACATTTTGTCAGTCTCCCAGTATCAATTAGTTCTGATCTGGTCGTCGCGTGCTGGTGAAGATAAAATGGATATGGTGGTATAAAGATCGTTGAAGTTAGACGTGGAGTTCGAGAAAATGTGGTAAAATTCGTGAGATGTGATGGTGGGGTCTTCAACAGGGCAAATTTTCGTCACGCTTCTGTCCACGTGATGTAAAATTTTGGCTGGAAGCGAAAGTCGGAGAAGGTTTTCTGCTGAGTCATCTCATTTTTTTTTTGAGGTGCGATCAAATGTGATGCTCTCCCGCCAAAGGTATTAGTCGCAGAAGAGTCGACGGCGCTGTTTCATAGAAGATATGTCGAGTTCACTCACTTGAGTGGACTTATATATTTCTTCCGGATTCCTCTCTCGTTTCACATTGAGTCTGTTATCGCTCCCCAACCGTTATGAGACTGCTGTCTGTCTTATAAGCCTCTCGCCCACCTCTGTTATTTCACTGCCCCACCATCGTGGCAGACTCGACACAATGGCCGACGCGGGGCAGGATATCAAGATCGATGCTCCTGATGTCACAGGCAGCAGGGGTCCCAACGATCTAGTAGTATGGCTAGAGGGGCAGCCTGATAATTCCAAAACTGAGTATGAAAGAGAAAAAAAAATTGGACTCATTCCTCTCGAGATAGACAGTACAGGCTAACTAACTTCTTTAAAGGGCCGCCGACGCAATTTTCAACCAGCTCATCTCACGAGAGACTCTGTCAAAGCTCTCAAGTAGTAAGGTCCGCGTGAAACTTTGTGGATTCATCGAGCAATGCCTCAAATCGAAAACTCCTGGAGTCCGTGATTGGGCCCTTTCCAAAGATCTCTACCTCAAATTGTTTGATCTGTATCTCGAATGGAATGAATCAGATGCTGAGCGGTCGTTGAGACTCGTACTAGATCTCCTAGTCGATCTAATGATCCAAGGGAAAGCGAGGGCTGATCTAGGCCCCGTAAAACTAACAGTATTAGACACGCTTGTCTCCGTCATGGCCAAGCAATCCACTAAGCCCCTGGCGAAGTCTGCCATCATGGTTCTCGACCGCTTCCTCACCAAGTCCGTTGTGTCACTGAAAGAAGTTGGAACTACGTACAAGACTTGGAAGGAATCTGAGCTTAAAGTCACGGACATTGAGCTCTGGAAGAACTACCTCGCCGAAATGTTTAACTGGATGGAAATCCAGTTTGTATGCCCTGTGGCTGGCAAATTTGTCGCCACGGTATATAGAATGCTTTCCATAGAGTCCAAGCAGGGATTCCTTCAAGCCTCTCAAGTACCATTCACCGTCGAGATATGGCATGAGTGGCTGCTGGAGTTCTTGACTGCTGAGCCCTCGCTGCTAGACGGCATCAAGAATTACATCTTCGTGCCCCTGTTCAAGTCGGAGAAGCAGGAGTCGATAGAACTTCTACAGAGAATGAATCGATTGGATAAGGCCATTACAACTCCAGACTTGTACTTGGATATCCCCGCGATGCTTCAGCTAGCCTCGCTCGAGGTCGGCAAGAGAGTAGGCTTAGTTGAAGAACCAGGTATTTTTGAACACTTTTCTAGAGCCGTTATTTGTTTAGAAACACTAAAAAGTTCCCAGTATATGGCGGCCAAGTACAAAACAAGGACCATTCCGGCCCCGTCGTGCTTCAGGAGGACCTCCTCGAACACGTTCTCGTTCACCCTTCATTTAGTATCCGCACGCATGCACTGTCTCTAATAATATCATCGTCGTCGACGACACGCCCCTACTCCCCCACGGCCTTGGTTCTACTGCAAAAGCATCTTGGCATGTACTTCGCGGACTCCGAGGCGCGCTTCCGGAATGAACTTCTTGGAAAGCTTAGGGATATGTACAAGAGAGTTCGCGGCGGTATCTTTGTGCTCCAGCGAAGCCTCGTGCGTGCAAGAGCGGCGACACACCAGAAACACACGGGAGTCTCGACCGAGTCCCGAAAGCCAGCGCTGTATCATACTAATGTTATTTCCCACCCCGAACCCGAGCTGGCTACGGCATTGAAACTCCACGAAGACTTCCTTCACTGGTATCTTCGCTTCCTGAGGGCCGAGCTAGTCCCTACTGCCTCCTACCAGCGACATGTAACATCACTAAAGACCGTGGCAAAGATAATACAGCTCGAAGCGGCCCCCGCGAAGACGTGGGAAACCAAGGACGATAAGGAACTTTTCTTTGATCTCTTTGATGCAACGTGGTCTCGTGCGCTTCTCGACTTGCTCATGGACCCGTTTGATGACGTTCGGGACACCGCTGCTTCTGTGCTGAGGCTTCTCTTCAATGATGGCCACTATAGTGCCCTCCTTTCTCCAGGAACCTCACCTTCAGATGCTCTGTCCCGCTTCCTAACTAGAGCCAATGAGCTTGCTAACCAAACTGGGAGAGCTGACCATGCCAACGGCGTTGCTCGGGCTTATGAGCTACTCCACAGGTTCTCTGCGGACCAGCAGGCGAAATCTACGCTTTTGTCGGATCTCATTGCGGCCTTGGATAAGAGAATCGCTTCGGCCGAGCATAACCTGGGTCTCGCTGTGCTTGATGCACCTACACACGGTCTTTTTGCGGCGCTGAGGTAAGTTGTGCGCCAGACGGGATTACAAGTTTTTCTTGGCTATCTAGCAGCAAGCTAACTAGAGTAGCTATATCGTCATCTCTATCAACGAACAAAAATATGAGCCTAAGACTTTGGCTGAGTTAGACCGAATTTACTTTTCCATGTTGGAATGCTGTCGGCGGATATGGAACGTTGTGAGAGACGTGCTTTGCGATGACTCTCCCGAAGGCCATCTGCCGGATGACTTGGATGAGATGGAGGGCTTGGATACGAAGAATCTTTTGAGTTACAGCTTCCGAGCGGTTGATGAATCTAGGTATGTGATTTCTCACCTGGCCTCGAGCGCCCAGCATTTCCTCTAACGACCATGTAGCAAAGTCATGAAGGCGATAATCCAGGGTGCTAAGAATTACGGGGGAATGGATCACCAGTGCCCCTCAATGAAGGTGTTTTCGGCCTTTGGAAACCTCTCGCTCGAGCAACTGTCCACCCTAAGGCACCGTGGTGCCTTGACGACAGTATCCCAGACATTTGCGATATGCTGCCAGATGTCAAGATTTTACCAAGAAGAACAGACGTCACTGCCTCTTCTTGAGCAGTGGTACAAAGTAGGTCCAACATGTTCTACCAAGACCGCACGGTCAAATTTCTGATTATTTATATCTAGGCGACTTTGAACTGCATATCTACACAGCGTTCGACAACGAGGAGGTCTGCTGGTATTCCGTCTATGATGATTGGGATCCTGTCTGCCAACTACCGGATCTCGTTTGACGGGGCTATGGAGGAGCTCATGAAGATCGGGGCCACACCAGCTGCCGTATCAGAGGCCGATGGATCAAACCTGCCCCAGGTTCACGCCCTAAACTCTCTTACTGGTATTTTCAAGACATCATACCTCTCCCACTTCGAAAGGAAATTAGAACGGTACCTACCGCTCTGTCTCCAGCTAGCGGCCGACTGCCTACGATCGCAAATGTACGTCAAACTCTGTAACTCGAGTAATCCCCGGACTATCTTACATCTTTGCTGACTCGTTGCTTCTTATTAGCTGGGCCATTCGGAACTGTGGCCTGCTCCTCCTGAGAGGTTTGATGGACAATCTCTTCGGCACCAGCGAGAGCAAAACAATGATGGAGGCGGGGTGGGACGGCAAGGCAAACCGTCTACACTACGGAAGGTACCCCAGCCTCGCGCCAGTGCTTCTGAGTCTTCTCAAGAGCGGCCGCGACATGGTATATGAGATATCCACTACGGCGGCGGCTGAGGCGGTCTTCCCGGCCCTTGATATTGTTCGGCGAGCAGGTCCGCCTGCTTCTCTGCGGGATGAGTTGCAGCAATATATTGTCGACTACCTGGGAAGTCCCGCGTGGCATGTCCGTGAGATCGCTGCTAGGACCCTCTGCTCATGTCTTCTCCACGATAGGTGGCTGGAGTCGTTGAGGTCAATCTTGGTACCGCGAGATTCCGATGAGAATTCCGCGAGGGCGAAGAACCGTACCCATGGCGCCCTGTTGACGGCTAAGTTTTTGGTAGAGCGCCTGGCGGAGGTTATGCCGGCCCAATTAACAGGTTTGTTACGGGTCATTACGTGCTTATAGAAAATTCGCTAACGAAACTGAAATAGTGGATTACGACGGCCTGGCAGCGTTGTTGGTGGAGATACAGGACAATTCACCGCGAGATTTGAGGAGGCTTCCCGACCTGCAGGCCACTTACCTTGAAGTCTGCAATCAAGCCTCAAAATACGGACTCCGTCTTGTGCGCAATGGCAAGAAAGAAGTGGCAGAGTCTCTGCACAAGACCATAACCCTATCTCTTGTCAAGTCGGGGGATATGGCAGAGGGTGAAAACCATGGGGCACTCTTCCGCATCCAGCGCGCGGTCCAGAGCGTCTACTCGCTTATCGACCCCGCAAACGTCGACCCTTTCCTACGAAACGCCCGCGAGATGGTTGACAGGGACGTGAGCTCGCTAGCTGCCACGCTCGAGACTCTGCCCAAGGTGTGGCCTGTAGAACACCTCTCCGGGTCGACTATTTCGCAGCTATTTGCCCTCTACCTAGATATATGTATGGCTGCGCGAGTACAGGACGTGCTTGCCATAGCGCTGCAGAATTTCACGGATCTAATGGCGGATACGGGAGATATGCCGGAAGTGCAGCCGAGCAAGGACTCACTGTTGGGGTTGTGGTCACGCCTCCAGCGAGTTTCGATGAACCCAAGCCTCTCGGACGAGATTATTCGGACTAGCGGCGTGATCCTCGGTCGCCTGCTATCCCTCCGGGATGAAAGTGGATGGGACCAGGGGGGTGCTTTGCGGAACTTTGGGCTCCTGGTCGCCGAATCGAGCACCGATGACAAGCCCTTCGACACACGATACGCCGCAGCCGAAGCGCTCAAGTTCGCCCTCGCAAATAGTAGTGGCACCAACCCCTCCCCAGATCCAAACAACGCCTCCTGCCTCCCCTACTACCAAGCCCTCTACAACCTCCTCAACGACGACGACTCCGAAATCCGCGACCTCGGCGCCTCAGCCCTAACCTCAACCACCACCGCCCCCATCATCCCCATGCAGGCGGCCGCCAACCTCCTCTCCACCTGGAGCCACGGTTCCGACCTCAGCCCAGAGCTCTCAGCCGCCGCCGCCTGCCGGATGGTCGGGCACGACTTCCCCGTCGACGCGCCGCTCTCCGCCCTCGGGGCCTTAGGTTCCGGGTCGGAGCAACTACAGGAAGCACTCAAGTTCGACGCCTCGCTGTTCCTTGTCGAGGAGCAGAATCTCTTCGTCGACGAAGTGCGCGAGACGAAACGCTGGAAAGAAGTCTTTGTGAGTACTCTGAAAGACGAGAAGAAGCGCGAGGATCCGGCGCTCGATGCCCTAGCCGCTTGGACGCGTCCCGGGCTGAAGATGCTCCTGGACATGGCGGAGGAGAAAGGGGATGGAGCCTTGGGGTGGACGTCTAGGCCGGCTGTTTTTGCGGTTTGCGCGAGGATCGTGGTTTCTGCCGTTGCGCTTGTTGAAGTTGGTGGGTTTGAGGATGTGCAGAGGGATTTGGAGAGGTTGAAGGCGGTGGGGGAGCGGGTTGGGCTTTCGGGGTTGTTGCTTGAGATGGCGGGGGTGTGAAGAAGCAGTTGATATAAACGAGTGGGAGTAAAAAAAAGGGGGCGTGTTATAGACAGGTCTATAGACAGGTATGGAAAGGTAAACCAAAAGAAACTTTACGCCTCGAGCACACCGATCTTGCTTTGCCTTCGGGTTCTTGGGGAGGCTGTGATGCTCAATTAGGGGTTCCTGCAAGCGAGATCTGACTGGTAGGTTCAGCAAACAAGGTAAAAGATGAGATTAAAAGTCCATAATATTGCTCCTGATATCTTCAACAAATCCCAGGGTAACGGCTACTCCATGAATAGAAATCACAAAATAACGAAACACACGAAATCCTACACTTCCCCTCCCCTTCCCCACCCGCTCCCCGTCATCCTCAAAAAGCCAACCTCTTCTCCTCCCTCAAAACCCCCATATCCCTCCAACAACTCCCACAATACCCCTCCACCCAAGCCTTCGCCCTCTCCCTCCTCCTCTTCTCCCCCTCCCCGTCACCATCCTTCTTCTCCTCTCCCGCGCCGCTAGCACCACCACCACTGCCACCCGCCTTCAACATGGACCGCAACTGCTCACACCTAGAATTCTCATCCACTAGCCAATTCTCCCACTCGGACTGCAACATCTCGCGCTCGACACTGTTGACGATGCGCATGGCCACGAGCAGGTCGTGGCGGTAGGCTCCGAGACGCTGACGCATGCGCCGGAGACGCTGGGCCGTGGCGCGGGATGAGGCGGCGGAGAGGTGGGAGCCGGCGTCTTGGTAGGGGCCGTCGAGGCTTGTGGCGTCGCTGATTGCTTGGAAGGCCGAGAAGCTGTGGATAGGTATTACCTTGGTCAGCCTGCTGCCTCCTTTCATGTAGGATCAAGTAGGGATAGTGAGGAAAAAAAAAAGCTGGGAAAACACATACCACACGCTACCCTCCTCGGCCCAGGAAATGTTGGCCGGCATCGTCCCCTGAACACTCTCCAAATCCGCAATATACACCGCCTTGCTCATCATAACATTAGGTCCAACCCCCAACCTCGCCAAGAACCTCGTAGCGCTCCGCTCCCTCCACCACGCCGAACCCTCCAAGGACGTCAAGAACAAGTTCGCCAGCAAGCTGAAGCCCGTGACGACCAAGATGACGCGATGCGCCGTGAACACGCGCAGCAAGACGCGCAAGGCGGCAAAGGCCCACATGAGGATTGACGTCACCGCGCTCTGCGTCAGCGACTTGAGCGTCTCGTACACCATTTCCGTCAACGTGCGCGGCTGCACGGCCTGCTTCTTCGCCGAGTCGGCATGCGCCGGAGTGAAGGGGACGGGCTGCGTCTCCTGGCCGATGTGACCGTAGACCTGGATGGCGCGCTTGGTGCGGCTGCGGGGGCCGAGACGACGGACCTGATCGGTGGCGGCTTCGGCGAGCTCCTCGGCGTCGGCCTCAGCGTCGTTGAGGGCCTGGCGCTCGACGATGCTCTTTGAGAAGCTCGGGAAAGTCTTCCACTCCGTCTTGATGTAGATGGCGAGCTTGCACTTGGACTTGGCGATGTGCGTGATGACGATCTTGGTGACGACTTTGAAGTACTGCGAGTGCGGCAGGTGCCACGCCCGCTTTACGTGCGTGACTTCGTAGGTGACGTGGTCGCGGTGGATGTCGATCGTTTGGAAATCCGTCACGTTGCATGTCTTGGAGCGGCCGAGCATGTCGACTGAGTCGGCCTTGAAGGTGAATTCGCGCTTCATGCGTCCGTGATCGGCCAGAACCCACGGCCCCTGGACGATGTCTCGGGCGTTTCGATCGAAATAGAGCTTCGGGAAAAGGAAGCTCTTGTCGCCAAATAGGATGTGGAAGCACGACTTCGCACCAATCTCGAAGTGCCGCTCGGCCACTTTTAGCTTCATGTCATCGGGCTCGTAAATGACTGGTGCCGTCGGAAGATGCACCTTGCTCCTCAGTCGGTGTCGCGTAAGACAGGGTCGGGCGTTGTTATCAGCGATTTGATGAGGTCGCCTTGGCAAGGGATGATTCTCAGCCACGGGGCTGTCGAATCCCACGTCCTCCCAGCTATCCATACTTGGGCTCCTCTTTTCGTGCTCGTCCTTCTCGAGGCAGATGAGCTGCGTGACAATCTCGCTCACCTCCATAGGTTCCTCGGCCTGCAAATCATCGACGAGGAGGTTCAGGCGGGCATGTAGAAGACGAACGTCCTCGAGGAACGTCTTAATAGTGATTCGGGTCAGACCGGTATCGTTAAAATCCTGGCTGAGTCGAAGGACAATAAAATCGCAGTCTCGTCCGGGGTTCGCCGTCACTTCTGCGATAAAGTCCAGGCCGATAGAGTACGCAACGACTAGGCCGAGCTGCTGGCCATAGAAGTACATATTGTCGGGCGTAACGTAGATACGCCCATTGCCCGCGAGCGTTGGCCCTTCGAATCCCCTTTCGCCAGAGCTCGTCCACGTTGCTCGGAAAACAAGAACCAGCTTCTCTTCCATGGGAACGTTGGGGAAGAGCAGCCTGAACTGGGCATGTTGCGCCTTGAGCTCTGGAGGGTAGCCCGGTGGGAACCATTCAGGAAGTCGTCGGTCGGGGTGATGCGGCCCCGAGGGCGGGTTCACGTCTCCCCCTCCGGTGGACTTGTCGTTCCTGAAGCTGCTTCCTCGACGCATGGCGGCTGCTTGTTGAGCATCCGCGTTGGTGAGCCTGTGGTAATTGACATTAGTGGTTGTGTAAACGGAGCTCCAAGGGTTGCTGCCCCAGTAGTTTGCCATGACCGCCGTCGACATGGCGCGGGAAATGTCAGGTGTCAAACCGCGTTCGGCCGTCACCGTCACCGCAAACCTGCTAAGATTGGTCGCGATCGGCGGAGGCGCGAGATAGGGCGGCGCCAGACTACCCGGTGGGATATCAAGACCGGCAAGACCTCCCACTGGAGCGGATCGAGGCACAACGCTGCTGTAGCCTGGCAAGAAAGTGTGGCTAGCTGAGATGAGGCTTGCAATCCCACCGGCCGGGCCTGCACCGGATTGAGGAGATTCGGCAGCAGCGCCGAAAGTGGCCTTTCTGTGCAGGTCCAACTTTTGAATGATTCGAGCGGCATGTTCTCTGTTACTTTCGCCATCTTCCCTCGCCAACTCCCGGCCAAGATTGGAGATGGACCGGCGAGCAGGGGCGTTGACGTCGAAGCTCGACCGTTGCGCCAGGTTCAGGTTCTCGTTCGGGACAACAAGCGCACCAGCCGCACCATCTTCACCCGGCATGATAGCATCAAGCACCTTGGCTGAGAATTCGGGAATATTTGGCGGCGTGATCGAGAAAGCCGAGCTCGGCGTAGAGGTACCGCTCTTGCCCACGCTAGCCTCGAAAGCACGCTTCTTCGCAACCTCAAACACCTCCAGCCAGTCCGAGAGCTCTCCCTGCGTCTCGGCTTGGAGAATCATCGTCTGGCTCTTGGTCTTGACCTGGAAGCAGAAGCGACGATCTTCTCCCACCGCGGGCTTAGCATTGCACAGGAGGACGCCAATCTCATCACCTTGGAGCACGCCGTGGGGTGCCTGAACAAGCCAGCCAAATATGCCGTCACGGCAGTAGAACCAGCGACGGGTCCACGACGTTCTCACGGGTTTCCCAGCCAGTATTTTGAAGAACAGCCAACCTTGGCACTCGGAGATGACAGGTTCACCCTCCTTCGGGGCGTTCGCGGAGGACGGGCCCCTCGAGCTCAGGAATGCAACGGTCGAGGAGCTATAACTCTCGAGGTCTCGGGACGGTCGTATTGATAGCAGCGTGGCTTCCCCAATCTCCCGTCTCGCTAGATGTAGTTCTCTTTTGAAAACGGCTTCTGAAGACTCCATATCCTTGCACCAGCCCCGGATACGATCGATCTCCGTGTTCCACTTGGCGGAATTCGTAGCCGTCCCGCGGTGTTGTCTCAGAGCACCCCACAGGTCAGAAGAGATGCGGACGAGCAGTCTATCTAGAGAATACCGCAGCTGGGGAGCAAGCTGGCAAAAGTCTAGCGAGGATTTAAGATACACTTTCCGAGTCTCAAACACGGCAAATGCATCCTCCCTCAAAGAGGAGGGCTCCTTCGTCTTCGGCATTGACAGGTATCTCGCCAGCGTAGTATCAAATGCCTTCTGTGCATTATCCATGGTCCTCCTAGCGTCTTTGAATGCCCTTAGATCATTCTGGAGGAATAACTTGATGGGTTCGACAGCGATGACATCCATACGCCGTGCCAGGGCCTGGATCTGCGTCCAGTAATCGCGGGCGCCATCTCCGACCCTCTTTAGTGCGAGCTGGGTGTATTCGTTATCGATGACCGTGTCGGCGACGGCCTGGGTAGGTATGAGTTGTCGGAGATAGGAGTTGATGGATTCTTCGAGGCTGATGACGTCTTGGGCGAGCTTGGAGGTGGATCTGACGTAACCATCGAGCCAGCGTTCGATACCGTCCACCTGGTCGGCAAAGTGGACGGTGGTAGTACGAAATGTCGGGGAGTCGAGGGAGGCTTCGGTTAGGGAGACGGGGATGACGGGGCTTCGTCGGGTGGACTTCGTGCGGACGGGGTTGGGGGTAGTGTCCTTCGACATGATGACGGATGCGGTGAATGCAGTTGATGCAGAGGACGGATTAATTAGCAAGTTTCGGTTATCTATCTCATTGTAATATCAAAGTGTATAATACAAGGGCTGAATAGCGTCGAAATTTTGGCGTGAGCCACGATGGGCTTCCCAGATACCGAAAGGGTCCGATTGTGCCGGAGGATTCTCCCCTTTGTTGAAGATGTCATGATCGGGCTAGAATTCAGCCTCGCCTATAGCTTGGTTTTGGCGGAAGTGGCTGGAATGTTGGCGGGTACTGTGGTTTAGCGTTCCCAGCTTCAGAGGGTCTGTAGTGATGCCACACAAATCAAGCCACTAATTTGACCCAGCCCAAACTCGCGGGGCAAAGTCACTAACCCCACTAAACCCGGGCACTAACTTCACGTGGAGATTGAGCAGAGCTTCATCCAATCCAACATGGCCTTCAAGAACAGATGATTTAAGATCAAAATTCGAGACATCTATCTTCACGCATAGCTCTTGTTTCCTCTCATTAATTATGTAATAGGGCCATAAGAGTAATACACGGTGCCAGACTGTTTACAGTCTTCTGATTAATTGAACCGCTTGGCTCATGGACCAAGCTTCCACGAGCCCAGCCCTCTGGGAGAAATCAAGGAACTGTGATAGAGGCGTTGGCCTCGAGGAGTGGATACCACCCAGGTCACAAGAATTGACAGCTGGAAGACCAAGTCGCTCGGGGTTGGCAGGTCAGAGACAGTGGATTAGACCTGCAGAAAGGAGAACCTAAAGAGGGGGGGTGTACATCAAATGTATGAGTCTTGGAACGCTAAAACGACGACAATTCAGCTGCCCATGGGCCTTCTCGGGTCAAGGATATCGTCATGCCCGACAACCAAGTTTTCCTAGCTTTCCCGCCCCTGGTTTGCCCAGGGTCTCCCATGTTCTTCGCGGGTCATTCTTTGCAAGTTCGGAGCGCGTGACTGGAAACCGCGCTCCATTGAATCCGTCAAGAACCTCGGCCGGCGTCGGCAATGACACTCCTTCATACATTCCGGTTGAAGAGGTGCAAGGGCCTCCTCTCATTGCCCTTGGCGGACCCTTCAAGAAGTGACACTTGTCAGAGCGTATCTGGTCTACCTCGTTATCAAAATACATTGACCACGTCAACGGGAGGGCGAGCCATTGACTGGATGTGGCGAGGAATTTACGCGTCGCGTAGAATTTCATGCTCATTCTCTGGCAAGACGACGGGGGGAGTGTTGCTAGAGTAAACGGCCGTGAAGAGTTAAGGTCAAACGACGGTGGCTTGCGTCGTCCTTCATGCAAGGCAAACCGGCCGAAAAAAAAAGTAAAGTACTGGACATGACGGGACTCTTAAGGATAAGACACTATCTAACCCTATGGCCTGCCACTCGGCCTTGAACCCTGGAAATCAGATAGCCTCTGTATTGTGGGGTGGTGGCTGGTTTAGATGTTTCCAGGGCCAAGAGATTGGAACCATGTCACTGGATCTCCGTCACTCCAAACTTCGACCTGACAAGGGGAGCCTGGCGTTCATTAGCACACGGCTCCTTGCGATGACGTCGATGGTTGCTCGGTTTCCCACGGAGAAACCCTAGACCGACCGAATAGAGGTCTCATGACCGACGGATACAACAGTTCCATCCCTGTGAGCCCTTTTTTTTCATGCTCGGACGACGAGGCGGTAAAGGGTAATCGACCGCTTCGACGGACCTCATCGATGCGCGATGACGCCTGTTTGAGCAGCGGGTTTTCCTTTCGTGGGTTGCCTCCGAAGTAGCACAAAGTGCGATCGGACTTAGCGGTCTGTCCTAGTCTGTGCGTCATGTGATCTCCTAGGCGGGAAGGCAGCCCGGAGAATCCAAACCCCGGAGTCTAACAGGAAGCGGGGCGGTCACACCGACCACAGCAGGACCCTTGCCCGCCTACTTTTCCCTTTCCAGGCCAAAAATAGCATCAATCCCTGTGGCAGCATTGACCCAGCCACACTCCACACGTGCAGGAGCCACATTAGCCATGCTTTTTCACCGACATGTCTGAGTTGGTCCCTTCACGGACTCGCCGTCCATAGATTGGGAAAATAGAAACTCCCTGCATGTTGGAGCCCAAATAGCAGAAAGCCAACAATCGGCAAACCGAGCTTTTTTGGGCATCTCAATTCTTCCAAGCGATGTTTACTCTCTTCAACAGATGCAAGGGAGTTTGGCCCGCCTCAAACAGCTGAGCCACAATTTACTAAATTGTTTGAATATCGAGCCGTTGGGGAGTTCGCCAGTCAAGAACAGGTTAGCGTGGGGAATGTCGTCAATGATGTGCGTGGGGGCCACACATTCGTGTGTCGTTTCGCCGAAGTCCCGAAGCCTGCCACAATGTGTGACTTGCACCCACCACTCAATCCCCGAGGCAATGATAGATGCCCGCATATCCGCTACCGTGGTTTCAGCGAGCATGATAACGCGTCTTGGCCTCATTTTCTGGCGCGTCGTCCTCCTTCAGTGGAGATGGGATGGGAATGGCTGTCATCCAACAGGAATACGCCTCGTTCCTGTCTCTGTTACGATGGAAACTTGCTTCTTGGATCATACCTTGGACGCAAGCCCTCATGCCGCCAATCCTCGACGGGGGGACAATCCACGAGACTTGAGGGGCAGGTTTTTTGAGCCGACTTACGCGATTTCTTCCTGCATGACTGTAGATCTCAAATAATCTCACGAGAACAGAAAACAAATACTCCCTCGATCCCCGACTGGTGTTACAAGTAGGTCAGGGCATGATTTGCAGGTTCTGATATGACTGGGCTGCGGCCAGCTGTCCACGTGCCCCGAACTTCCTCCCGTCGTCCTTCAACAGGATCATAACGAGAAAACCTTTCTTCCGTATCGTCCGTATCTGGGAGTTGTGTTAGCCGAAACGAACGGGGTACTTGGTACAAGGAGTGAGCTTCCCAGTCCCCAAACAGACAGCAACTGAAAGGGGACCGATTCCAAGACAAGACAGAGTCGAGAGGATGGAGATGAAAGAGCGAGTCCTGTGCGCATCTTCATTGGTCATTTTCCGATCTAAGCTATTCGGCATTTAGACCAATAGGCTCTCGTATCTTCACTTTTCTTCCTCACCACCTCCACATCGCTCGTACTAGTATTTCTGGTGAACAGCCAATTAGAGCCCAGAAGTGCTCTTTCACCTCTAACACACCTTCTCGCTTCCCTGCTGCAACCTTCTCGAGAGTGCTTCTCCAAGCGCTGATTTGCTCCAAGATCCATCCTCTAGAGCCCCCCTTCTCACTTAGCACCTCTTTCCACTCGGAAGTATACCTACCTAGTATGTCAATGCAACGACTTTGTTGGGTCCTTTTCTACACTATACGCAGTCCCGAACCCCCTCTTTCCCCTTTGGACTTAGTAAATCTGACAGAAAATGGGCGTTCTTTTGGATATGCGACATCCCAAGGGACCATCCTGCCGGGCGAGGGGCACATCCTCCTCACACCCCTTTGCTATCACGCGCTAAAAGCACAGGGTATCAAGCAGCGGGACTGAGAAACCAAGCTTACGCAGAAGTTCAGAAACGAAAGAAAAGAGAGGTTCCTCTTCATTGTGTTTCTTCTCGTTACCCCGGATGGCTTCTTTCGTGCCTTGTCAATGGTCATACTTGATACCTCGAGCCGTTCGTTACCCACCCCTTTTCCATCTGGCCTGGGCTGATCTCCACTCGTCGTACTACTCTGAACCCCTCCCCTTCCTTCCCCCTTTGATGCCAAAAAGGAACGGTCATGTAGACGCCCAGATGATCTGATTCTCACTTTATGGGGTTCGAAGTAGCGTGCTGCGCCTGGCAAGTTTCATGTTGGCCTGGCTCTGTGGAGAAGCAACGTCGCTTGCGAAGCTCCGATAGAAAGAAGCACACCTCTCTCGTTTCGGATAGTACAGCTTAGCCATGGTCCTGGGTACACTCCTCTCTTTCTCTCTGTTTTTCCCTTTATTCAATGCTATCTCCACTCCATCAGTAACTACTAGCTTATTACTAACATCGGTGTCAACCCTCGGCGTTTTTGTAAAAGTTTTATTGATACTAGCCAGGACGAGGTTACCATGCATATTGGTCTGTCTTACACCTTTCCAATACCCTCTCTGACTGGAAGATCATCCCAGAGCAGCCAATTTCCGGCCCAGTAGGCTCTACGCTCTATGAAAAGGAAAATAACAAAATGGATCATGCCATCATCTCATAATTTCATGAATCTGTACTCAAGGCTGTCAATTCTCACACCGAATGGAATCAAGAAGAGGTTGTCAATTTTATATACAGGTACACACCCCCCAAAGTTCCTACACACCACAATTTGGACGAAGGAGTCGAGTTCCATTCCCAGCAGAAGCCGCATAAGCGCAAATTTGGGGAAAATTGCCCCGAGGAGCTGGGATTTGAGATTGATGTTTCCCGAGAAGGAAAATAATAATAATCCGAGATGGTTCCCGAGCTTCAAAGCCTTCCCATTCCTCTTCTGAGTGATCCCGGTCCTGGCTCCTGGGAAACGAAGGGGAAACAATAGCGTTCTTTCGAGTATTAGGTGTGGGTGCCACTCAGATGGGCTTCGAGTATTTGTTTCGTTTCGGGAGCCGGTTCCCTTTCATTTCCCGGCACTCACTTCCAAATTCATTCGACATTACCTTCGTATTATATGTTACTTTGATTCGACTTCATCTTCTGCAAAGTGCGAAGCATGCATTACCGATTGTAATCCCAACAGCATGGGAAAAGAAACCGTTGGGGCCCAATAAACCGATAAACTCCGCATAACAAAGATGCACAAGGAAAGGGAAAGGGAAAAAGTATACGAAGTCGGTGCGTTGCCTTGCATGCTATCTTGCAGGCAACGCGGCATCCGGAAGCAGTAGACATGTACGAAGTAGGGCGACATGTCGCTTACATGAGGCATTGACGATTTCTTGAGGTTGTTGCAATTGGCAGCTCCAGGGCGAGCTGAGCGACAGGCTGGGCTT